GTGTCTCAGAAAACCAGTTTGGGGGGCTCAGTCAGTTAAGTGTCTGTCTTCGGCTCAGGTCATGATCTCAGGGTCCTGGGATCGAGCCCTGTGTCTAGCCCGCTGCTTAGGAGGGAGTTGTCTGCTCCCTCTCCCTCTGCCCCCTTCCACCCTGCTCATGTGCTCTCTCTCAAATAAATAAAATCTTAATAATAGTTTGGAAAGATGCTTTATTCCTATATATTTTCTCTTAATAATTTAGTTATGGATTATTTCAGATTATTTTAAAAATTATTCTTTTTAAAAAGGAAACTTAAATATGAAAATTCATCTACGTAAGGACAATTACAATTAATATTATATTTTTTGTTTCTTTTGTCATAGGTATTGTTCTCACTAAGGTTGGTTACTATACTATTCCATCTATGGATGACCTTGCTAAAATTACCAATGAAAAAGGAGAGTGCATTGTCTCAGACTTCACTATTGGTCGTAAAGGTGAGTGTGAGCTTAGGAGTTTGTAGTATTTAAGCCAAAGATCTGCATCTTATTTTTATAATTAAGTGAAAGAAGTTCTTGATAGCTGAATCCCATTTTTTTCCTGTTTGGACCCACCTTGACCTGCATAGAAGTCCCTTTGATTGACAAGTAACAAAAGACTAGAACCATATAACATTCTTTGGTAACTGTTTGCTCATTTAAAGAAAATACTATAAACAGCAAGAAAATACTAAGTGAGAAAATTGAGTAATAAGAGATGAATAATATTTAGATTCAGCTTCATATTATTAATACAGATAAATTTTCTTGGAGAAAAAAATCTTATCTTGCTATATTGTATTTTAGGGCTCTCCAGCATTTTAGCTCATTCTGCAAGCTAGGTACTAAGTAAGGGTTGTTTATGTAGCAGTAGTACAGATACTCGGAAGAGATTTAAGAAAACTGTTTTGAAGATATTAAAGAAATGTAGAAATATAGATAAACAAGATAACTGGTTTTGATGTCATCCTGTGATACATATTATGGATGAAATAACCCACTGATGGTATTGCTGGGTGATTTGATTAATGTTTAAGGCAGCCTGGCTGGCTCCTTAGTGGGACATGTGACTCTTGATTTTGGGAGTGTGAGTTCGAGCTGCACGTTCGATGTGTAGTGATCACTTAAAAATGAAATCTTTAAAACAATTAAATAAAATAATATTGATTAATGTTTAAAGTTTTTTTTTTTTTTTAGTCCCTGGAAAATAAAATAGATTATTTGCCCTCTGTACAGGATGAGTTTTTAACTATTTGCTTTGACTTACAGGTTATGGTTCAATCTATTTTGAAGGAGATGTGAATTTGACAAATCTAAATTTGGATGATATTGTGCATATTCGAAGGAAAGAAGTGATAGTCTACTTAGATGATAACCAAAAACCACCTGTGGGTGAAGGGCTAAATAGGTATGTATTTACATATTTAGGAATTAATCTGCTAAATCACAAAATTCTTCTCACATTATATACATTTTTCTGCAACTTTTTTGACTTACTGTACAGTATGTGATTATTGTTGCTCTAATTTGAAAGTATAAATGATAAATGCTACATTAGGACTTTCTGACTCCTTTTCCCTAATACTATCAGGTCCAACTGTTATTTTCCAAAAATGTATTTTTTTTTTTTAAGATTTTTTATTTATTTTTTTGACAGTGAGAGAGGGAACACAAGCAAGGGGAGTGGGAGAGGGAGAAGCAGGCTTCCCGCGGAGCAAGGAGCCCGATGTGGGGCTTGATCCCAGGACCTTGGGATCATGACCTGAGCCGAAGGCAGACGCTTAACAACTGAGCCACCCAGGCGCCCCAGCCAAAAATGTATTTTAATAGTACCTTTTTTCTCTTGTGTCTGCTGCGACCATTTTTAATTCTTTCTCTATATTTTAGTTTGAGAAACTAGCTTCTGGGGGCGCCTGAGTGGCTTAGTCGTTAAAGCGTCTGCCTTCGGCTCAGGTCATGATCCCAGGGTCCTCAGGCTCCCTGCTCTGCGGGAGGCCTGCTTCTCCCTCTCACACTCCCCCTGCTTGTGTTCCTTCTCTCACTGTCTCTCTCTCTGTCAAATAAATAAATAAAATCTTAAAAAAAAAAAAGAAAGAAAAAAGAAACTAGCTCCTGATACTTCTTTGGACAGATGAAAGGGCCATAGTTAAAATAATTTATGTTCACAACCTACCAAGATTGAATCATGAAGAAATAGAAATTCAGAATAGCCCTATAATAAGGAAATTGAATTAGTAAACGCCCCCCAACCGAAAGCCTTTGACCAGATGACTTCAGTGGTAAATTCTACCAAACATTTATAGAATTAATGTCGGTTCTTAAACTCTTTCAAAAAACTGAAAAGTAAGGGAACACTTTCTAACTATGAAGCGAGCATTACCCTGACTCCAAAGCTAGAAAAAGAAACTACAAGAAAATAAAACTATAGACCAATATCCTTGGTGAATACTGATGTAAATATGTTCAAAATACATTTGATCCTTGAACCACAAAGGTTTGAACTGTGTGGTCCACATCAGTGGGTTTTTTACAGTACAATACTATAAGTGTATTTCCTTAGAATTTTCTTAACATTTTCTTTTTTTCTAGGTTACTTTATTGTAAATATAATATATAGTACATTTAACATACCACTATGAGTTAGTTGACTTATGTTATCAGTAAGGCTTCCAGTCAACAGTAGGCTATTAGTAGTTTTGTGGGAGTCCAAGATACAGAGATTTTCAACTGCACAGGGCTTGGTTCCCCTAACCCCTGCATTGTTCAAAGGCCAACTGTATTAGCAAACAGACTTCAACAGTACATTGAAAGGATTATACACCATGGCCAATTACTATTTATTCCAGGAACACAGGATGGTTTAATATATGAAAATTGATCAGTGTAATACATCACATTTGTAGAATTAAAAAAGAAAATCACATGTCATCTCAACCAATGCAGAAAAGCATTTGCCAAAATACAGCACCTTTTGTAGAGATAGAAGGAAACTACCTCAGGGTGCCTGACTGGCTCAGTCAGTAGAGTGCATGACTCCTGATCTCGTGGTTGTAAATTCAAGCCCCACATGTTAGGTGTAGAGATTATTTAAAAATAATAATAAAATAAAAAGAAGGAAACTACCTCAACTTAATAGGGCCATATTTTCAAAAGAATCTCAGACTCAGTGGTGAAAGAATGAAAGTTTTTCCTCTACGATCATGAACAAGACAAGGATGCCCACTTTGCCACTTTTATTCAACATAATACTAGAAGCACTAGTCAGAGCAATTAAGCAAGGAAAAGAAATAAAAGGCATCATCCAGATTGGAGTGGAAGGAGTAAAATATCTCTGTTCAGAGATGAAATGATCTTGTGCAGAAAACCTAAAGATTTCACTGAAAACAGTTATAAATTCAGCAAGGTAGCAGGATACAAAATCAACACACACAAATCAGTTGGGTTTCTATATACTAACAATGAGCAATCTGAAAGGGAAGTTAAAAAAAATTCCATTTTCAATAGCATCAGAAAGAATACAATACTTAGGAATAAATTCAACCAGGTAGGCAATAGCTGGAAGAAGTGAAAAAAGACAAATATATGGAAAGTTATCCCATGTTCATGGATTGGAAGACTTTAAATTACTAAAATGTCCATACTACCCAAAGCAATCTATAGATTTAATGTAATCCCTATTATGATGCAATCTGCATTTTTTTGCAGAAATAGAAAAATCCATCCGGAATCTCAAGGGACCTCACATACATAGTTAATGATTTTTACAAGGCTATCAAGACCATACAATGGGAGAGAGGATAATCTCTTTATCAAATGATTCTGGGGAAAACTTGATATCCAGGTAGAGAAGAATGAAGTTGTATTATGTTACAGAACAATGAACTCAGAATGGACCAGGCACCAAACATAACACCTAAAGCTTATAAAATTCTTAGAATAAAACATAGGGAGGGGAAGGTTCATGACATTAGAGATGTCATGAATTACAGCGTAATTTTAGTTTCAGGTGTACAGTATATTGATTCATCACTTCCATACATCACTCAGTGTTCATCACAAGTGCATTCCTTAATCCCCATCACCTATTTCACCCATCCCCTGACCTACCTCCCTTCTGGTAACCATCAGTTTGTCCTCTTCAGTTAAGAGTCTATTTTCTTGGTTTTCCCCTCCCCCCCACCCCCCTTTGCTTGTTTGGTTTCTTAAATTCCACATATGAGTGAAATCATACAGTATTTGTCTTTCTCTGACTGACTGATACTGCTTAGCAGTATACTCTCTGGCTCCATCCATATCATTGCAAATGGTAAGATTTCATTCTTTTTTATGGCTGAGTAATATTCCATAGTGTATGGCTGTGTACACCACATCATATTTATCCATTCATCAATTAGTGGATACTTGGGCAGTTTTCATAATTTGGTTATTGTAGATAATGCTGCTGTAAACATCGGGGTGCATGTATCCCTTTGAATTAGTATTTTTGTATTCTTTGGGTAAATACCTAGTATTGTGATTGCTGAATCATAGGGTGGTTCTGTTTTTATTTTTATTTATTTTTTTAAAGATTTTATTTATTTATTTGACAGAGAGAGAGACAGCGAGAGAGGGAACACAAGCAGGAGGAGTGGGAGAGGGAGAAGCAGGCTTCCCGCTGAGCAGGGAGCCTGGACGCGGGGCTCGATCCCAGGACCCTGGGATCATGACCCAAGCCAAAGGCAGACACTTAACGACTGAGCCACCCAGGCGCCCCAGGGTAGTTCTGTTTTTAACTTTGAGAAACCTCTGCTGTTTTCCATAGTGGCTGCACCAGTTTGCATTCCCACCAACAGTGCATGAGGTTTCCATTTCCTCCACATCCTCGCCAATACCTATTGTTTCTTGTGTTGTTGATTTTAGCCATATTCTGACAGGTATGAGGTGATACCTCATTGTAGTTTTGATTTGCATTTCCCTGATGATCAGTGATGTTGAGCATCTTTTCACATGTCTGTTAGCCATTTGTATGTCTTCTTTGGAAAAATGTCTATTCATGTCTTCTGCCCATTTCCTAAATGGATTATTTGTTTTTGGGGGTATTAGTAAGTTCTTTATAGATTTTTGGATGCTAACCCCTGATCAGATAGAACTTTTGCAAATATCTTCTCTCATTCCATAGGTTGCCTTTTAGTTTTGTTGATTGTTTCCTTTGTTGTGGAGAAGCTTTTTATTTATTTATTTATTTATATTTATTTATTTAAGATTTTAATTTATTTGACAGAGAGAGGGAACACAAGCAGGGGGAGTGGGAGAGGGAGAAGCAGGCTTCCCGTGGAGCAGAGAGCCCTATGCGGGGCTCAGTCCCAGGACCCTGGGATCATGACCTGAGCTGAAGGCAGACGCTTAACGACTGAGCCACCCAGGCGCCCAGAAGCTTTTTATTTTGATGTAGTCCCAATAGTTTATTTTTTATTTTGTTTCTCTTATGTCTGGAGACATACCTAGAAAGAAGTTGCTACAGCTAATGTCAAAGAAGTTACTTCCTGTGTTCTCTTCTAGGATTTTTATGGTTTCAGTTCTCACATTTAGTTCTTTATTCTAAATTTATTTTTGTGTATGGTGTTAAGTGGTCCAGTTTCATTCTTTTCCATGTAGCTATGCAGTTTTCCCAACACCATTTGTTGAAGAGACATTATTTTTCCCATGTCATTATATTTTGATGAGGATTTCCTGGATACAGCACTAAAAGCATAGGCAACAGTAGTAAAAGTGAACAAATTAGAGTACATTAAAATCTAAGACATCTAAGAACACAATCAGAATGAAAAGCCAGCCTACAGAATGGGAGAAAATATTTACAAATCATATTTCTGATAGGGGGTTAATGAAGAACTGCAGCTCAACAACAAAAATACAAAAAACCCAAATAAAAATGGGCAAAGGACTTCAGTACACATTTCTCCAGAGATAATATGCAGATGGCCAACAAGCATATGAAAAGACAGTCATGGCACCTGGGTGGCTCAGTCAGTTAAGCGGCCAACTCTTTGTTTTGGCTCAGGTCATGATCAGGATTCTGGGATTGAGCCCCCAGCTGTCTCCGCACTCAGCAGGGAGTCTGCTTGTGATAGTCTCTCTCCCATTGTCTCTCCCCTCGTTGGTGCTCGTTCTCTCTTTCTCTCTCAAGTAAATCTTCAAAAAAAGAAAAGATACTCAACATCACTAGTAATTAGGGAAATGCAAATCAAAACCACAGTGAGCTATCATACCCATTAGAATGGTTACTGAATTTCAAAAAAGAAAAAAGTTTCTGCAAGAGTGTGGGGAAATTGGAACCTTTGTATATATTGTTGGTGGGAATGTAAAATGATGCAGTTATATGGAAAATAGTGTGATTCCTCAGAAAATTAAAAATGATCCATCAATTCTAAAAGAATAGAAAGCAGGGGATGTATATAAATATCTGTATAGATAGATATATATCCTGGGTATATATCCAAAGGAATTGGAAGCAGGGTCTCAAAGAAATATGTACACACCACTGTTCAGAATAGCCAAGAGGTAGAAGCAACCCAGATATCTGTCCATTGATAGATGTACGGATAAACAGAATATGTTTTTATATGCAGTGGAATATTATGTAGCCTTAAAAAGGAAGTCCTGACATGCTAAAGCATGGATGAACCTTGAGGACATGCTAAGTGAAATAAGCTAATCATAAAAAGTCAAATACTATATGATTCCACTTACTTAAGGCCTTTTGTGGAGTCAGATTCACAGAAACAAACAGAATAGTGGTTGCCAGTGGCAGGAAGTTGGGGAGTTGTTTTTTAATGGGGTATAGAGTTTTAATTTTAAAGATGAGTAAGTTTTGGAGGTTGGTTGTACAACAGTGTGAACATATTTAACACTACTGAATGATACAGTTAGAAATGGTTAAGATGGGAAGTTTTCTGGTATACCTTTTATTACAATAAAAAAAATAATGTTTAAAGAAGTCACTATTAGGGGCGCCTAGGTGGCTCAGACAGTTAAGCATCTGCCTTCGGCTCAGGTCATGGTCCCAGGGTCGCAGGATCAAACCCTGCATCTGGCTCCCTGTTTGGCAGGGAGTCTGCTTCTCCCTTTCCCTCTGCCCCTCCCCTCCCCGCTCGTGCTCTCTCTCTTGCTTTTTCACAAATAAATAAAATCTTAAAAAAAAAAATGTCACTGCTAAACATTGTATTTTAATTATAGTCAGTTTTTTTAAAAAAGTGATCTAGGGGCACCTGGCTGACTCAGTTGGTGGATCATGTGACTCTTGATCTTGGGATCATTAGTTCAAGCCCCACATTGGGGGTAGAGATTACTTAATAAATAAAAGTTGGGAAAAAAGTCATCTATTATTAAGTGCTGATCACTCTACTAGGTGCAAGGCATATAGAATGAATAGATTACAGTCCTTGATCTCACATATTGATGTTAGAAAGTGTACATTACTGCTGTAATAGTCATCTTCACACTCATTACTTTTACTTAATGGTTAATATTATGGTGTTCCTGATACCTCATTCTGCAAGCATTTGTTATTAATCAGTGGTAGTTGCTGCTTTATTAATGTTGTTTTTAAGTACAATAGTGCTTTAAGACCTTCACTAAGACTTAGGTCTTAGTATTGGACTATTAGCACTGAATTTGGTCAAGGCTGCATAGTGTGTTAACTAAAATTTCATTGGAAATAATTGATGTGCTATGGTAGTTCAAAATGAATGGATTTTGACTCTTGAACCAGATATTGAGCTAGTTGATGGTGGGGGTAATTCCTTGCTTTTGAGCTTATCTACCCTGGGAGGCAAGAGTCAAGTTTATGAAACATCTGCAGAGTAATTCCAAAGTAACACAGGTACCTTTATTTGCTATTTATATAGATGCTACTTGGGTGTCTGATCTTAAATATGGAACATTTATACTTTATGTGGTTGTACATTGCAGGAAGGCTGAAGTTACACTGGATGGAGTTTGGCCAACAGATAAAACATCTCGTTGTTTAATAAAGAGCCCAGATCGACTTGCTGATATCAACTATGAGGGCAGATTGGAAGCAGTTTCAAGGAAACAAGGAGCTCAATTCAAAGAGTACCGTCCTGAAACGGGTTCTTGGGTGTTTAAGGTATAATAGTCACTTAACCTAGTTCTTATAAACTGTGGTTAGAGTGACAAAATGTGTTATAAGAGGTCCTCTCTTAAATTTTTTTTTTTTTTTTTTTTTGCAAATTAGGAAACATACAGAGATGCATCATGATTTGCTCCAGATTACACATTTTTTTTTTTAAGATTTTATTTATTTATATGACAGAGAGAGCACACAGCAGGGGGAACAGCAGAGGGAGAGGGAGAAGCAGGCTCCCTGTGGAGCAAGGAGCCTGATGTGGGGCTTGATCCCAGGACCCTGGGATCATGACCTGAGCAGAAGGCAGCCACTTAACTGACTGAGCCACCCCAGAACAATAAGACGCTACTGAAAACTTTATGCTCATGATTCACATCCTCTACCTCATCCTATGAGCATTTAGATACACTTCTTACTAAGGAGTGTTTTTTCAATGTGTGGCTTCATTAGAGGCATGAGACAGAATTTCTGTCTCTTGATACTAACTCTTCCTCAGTTGTCATTCATTTAAAGATTTCTGGGGATGAAGACGTTGACTTCCTTCCTTGATAGTTTAATTTAATGGTTTCTTTCTCTTCTAAGCCACTTGGATTATTTAACTAGTTGAAGGCCCGACACAAGTTAGTAGCGAACAACTAGGCAGTATATAGATGTGAAAATAGTAATGGCTTTTCTACATTTGGTTTCCTATATTAATAAGTTAGTATTTATATATAAGCAACTTGTACAAAACATCTAAATCTAAGGGTAGCAGTAAATTACATGTGATAGATGACATTTCATTCTGCCTTAAATATTTTGACAGGTCTCTTTTTTTTTAAAGCTAATTCTGCATGATTGCAAGGGCAAGTATTATGGAAGCTCTTAGGAATATAAGTGTTAAAATTGATTTTGTTGGATTCTGGGATGCCTGGCTGGCTCAGTTGGTAGAGCATGCAACTCTTGATCTCAGGGTTGTAAGTTTGAGGCCCACATTGGGTGTAGAGTTTACTTAAAAATAAAATCTTTAAAAAAAAATTGATTTTGTTGTATTCTTCTTTCCTTAGGTCTCCCATTTTTCTAAGTATGGCCTTCAGGATTCTGATGAAGAGGAGGAGGAACGGCCATCTAAAACTAGTACAAAAAAGTTGAAGACCGCCCCTTTGCCTCCTGCAGGCCAGGCCACCCCATTCCAGATGGCTCTTAATGGCAAGCCAGCACCTCCACCCCAGGTAGAGACAGGACAGTGAATTTGAATGGAATCCATGATACAGAAGTTGAAAGGAAGTCATTCAGCTAGTACAAAGCTGTTTATGACCCCTGGAACTTTGAAGAGTACAAATGTATTGGCAATCACGTTGAGACAAGTACCAGGGAGGGCGTGAGGTGGTCCTGGCATCTATTTTTAAATTGAGAGATTTAAAGAATTCTCATGCTGTTTGGATCATTCCTTCTACAGATTGTCATTCTTAAACACCTCCCTCTCTTTCATTTGGACTTGCTGAATTCTCTGCTCAGTGATCAACTTAAGATAGCATTTTGTTTGTGTGGGTTGATACAAAGTAAATCTTACTTTCCTTGACTACCTGATGTGCAGTTTAATCTTGTTCTTTACCTCCTTGGTTTTTTTAAAAGTTCAGTTAGCTTTCTGCAAGGGTTTTTTAACTCCATTTTTCTCAAGTTGTTTGCTTATACTTCAGGTAACCTCTTGATATTTGTATTTTAACAATACATAATCTTTCTGAAAATAGATCAGGTTTTAGAATATAAATGAATTATTTGGTGTGGGGAAAGAGGGGCTGTATTGTTTATTGCAATTACTTGTGTCATACTCTTTCAGTATTGTTAAGCCAGTATAAACCTTTTGTCCATGTAGGGAAAGGTTTGCAATTTAAATATCAGGTAGTTTCTTTGCGAACTCAAAAGAGTTTTACTTTCCTTTGGATGTTGTTTATATTCAATCAAGTTGCAAAAAGTTTTTTTCTTTGCTGCCCTACTCCCTCAAAGAAGAGCACTTAATACAGAATTTCTTTGTAAAGCATCCTCTACCTCTCAGCTGCTAAAAGCAGGACCTTTGGAATTTTTTGTGCTACAATTCTTATGGCTGCTGAAATGTGCGATTTTTATGATTTATTAAATAATTTCTTGGGAGGCATTTTCTGGAGATTGTTGTGTATGTATGTTCATATTTGCGCGTACAAGGTGAGGGAGGGCATGACAAAAGTGGGAACTGGGATATACATTGACTTCTATGTTTATAATCTTTATAGCACAAAACCCCTAAGAAATCTCTTCTAAACTAAAGAAATGCTGTAAATGGACTTGGTTTTCCATGTTCTTTTTTTTCTGAATCATATACTTTGTATAATCCCTTTCTCTCCAAAATGTTTTTTGGTCTTATGTGTATTTCGTAGGATGAGTCAGATAGCCTTCATTTTTGCTAATAAAAGTAATTGTTAGATCCTAAAGATGCAGCTGTGAAAGAAAAGCTTCATCTGTGGATAGACAGAGCAAATTTATGTAATGTGTCTTGACAATCAGTGATTTTTTTAGGCTATTTAATTTCCAGAATACAGACAGTAAGGGGTAACTATACATTTCTGTGATGACACTTCAGTAGGTGAGAACTCTTTAAAAAACTTTTTGAAGAGCACCAAAAAATTTCAGAAGAACCAGGGTTTAGGAAGAAGAGATGTGGTAAGGATCAAAATGTGCAAAGAGAATACAGTGAGTGGGATCTTTTTCAGATACATCCTTTGATTTAAGAAGCGGGTGGTCTTTGGCTGGGGAAAGCAGAAATGGGAGAAATGGGTTAGTTGTTTAGGTATTAGCCTAACATACTAGAACAGTAATGAAGGACTCTTCCTTCATATTGCCCAGTGACCTGAGTGAGACAGGTTGGAAATGCTAATGGTTGCATAGTTTTAGTTACTAGCACCAAAGACCTACATTTTACTTGGCATGAGGAAAATACTTGAGCCATCAGAATGAACTGGGAACAGACAGCACAGTCTTTTCATCCTAGTGTCAAGATGACTATCTTCACACTGTCACCTGGCCCCCTCGGGAGCTTAATTTCGGAGCACGGTGTTCCTTCAGTCTGCTCTAGCATTTTTTTTTCCCCTGTGCACAATCTCAGGTTCTTGGAGTTGAGGGTTTTTTAGGTATTAGGAAGATTTATATTTTTGTTTAATGGTGCTTTATCCCATTGCCATTTATGTAATATCTTCATCCCCTCTCTAGTTTGTTCTTAAGATTTGATTTGCTCCTAAAGAGGTAAATCTAAGAAAACAGAAAACATTAATGTAACTAAATCTTCACATAATCTCTTCTATGCCGTTGAAGTTAGAGAAAATGTTGGCAGAAAAACCTTCATCACACCAGTGAATCAGGGCAGTTGCAGAAACATTTGGTAGTTGGAACATTATTTCCAAAATGCTGATCTGAGATGCAGTTTTCAGCTGACTGCAACACTACTTTGGTGACCTTTGATTCCATAGATACAGCATCGGGCTCAGGCATATTTATATTTTAAATGCTTTCCCCCGGGTGATTGAAATACGCGGCCAGGCTTCAGAACCACTTGAAAGACCTCGGATGGCATTCAGGCAGAGAGACCTTTACCTATAGCTTTTTACTTCCACCTCTTAGTGAACTGTAACTTGTGTTCAGTATCATGGAGACAGACTAGTTGACTTGCTCAGAAACTTATCGTCACTAGGTGAGTACATTCAAATGAGTTAGAGATTTTTTAAAAGGAAAAAAGTAGTTAGGATTTAAAAGAAAGTTGATTTTATCTTGTGTATACTTTTTTTTTTAAAGGTTTTATTTATTTATTTGACAGAGACAGCGAGAGAGGGAACACAAGCAGGGGCGCGCCTGGGTGGCTCAGTCATTAAGCGTCTGCCTTTGGCTCAGGTCATGATCCCAGGGTCCTGGGATCGAGCCCCGCATTGGGCTCCCTGCTCAGCGGAGAGCCTCCTTCTCCCTCTCCCACTCCCCCTGCTTGTGTTCCCTCTCTCGGTGTCTCGCTGTCAAATAAATAAAAAAATCTTTAAAAAAAATAAATAATAAAACGGCAGCTAAGATTATTCAGTAAGTCAATATATGTATGTTGAATATATAGTTTATATTTTTATGTAATAAATATATATTACATATATATGAAATGTATACTATAGGCCTTTTTGCTTCAGATATTAATGTTGCAGTGTCCTGTACTTCTTGTTGTAATATCCCTGAATGTATGTATAGAAACATACACACTTGCTTTGATGGGTCCTTGAAACCCTGAGATGAACTTTCTCCAGAGAACACAGTGATGTTGACAGGGCTAATTTTCTAGCCAAATGAATATAAAACATTCTTTATTGTTAGAAAACAAATTATTTTGGAAGCAGACAACAGTAATAGTTATACTGGATTAAATTATTTTGGAGGGAATAACAGTATGAATTATTTAAATACCTGTTTGACGGTGGATTGGTTGCTTGCCCTTTGTTGAATAAAAGGTGTCATGATTTACTTTACCTACTTGAATTACTTTATGTACTAGATTAAGAGATGCTTTATCTTTAGGGTATTGGCAGCTTTGTTTGTATGAGGAAGATTCTCTTGAGATGGAAAGTGAAGGTTTCTAAAATCATTGAAGGTTTCACTCATGAAACCTCACCCTCTTATATATAAAGAAACAGTCATTTTACAGATATTATTTGTGTACTTAGGATTTGTAATGTACTGTGCTGGTTTTAAACATAAATAAGATCTACTTTCAAGAGATTACAGTATATGAAAGGGATATTCTGTTTAGCTGTTTTTCTGAGTATTTGCCTTACTTTTCCATAGATTTCCCAAGGGTTTCCTTTTTTTCTTTAAACTTCCTCCATTCCTTCTGAGCCATCTTTCTATTAATATTATTATTGTTATTATTAGTCTATTTTTCTTTCCAGGACTGGCTCTGAAGAAGCACCTGATCTCCCAAGATTTCTCTGAAAATAAGTACACAGACATCTTTTGGGGAGTTTATTGCAATTGCTTAGATATACTTTCACAAAATTCACTAATGGGGATCTTAGGAGCCTACCAGCTCCTCATAGTTTCATAGTCATTCACTTCCCCCTTATCCACTTATTACATGATACCTCATAACTTTAAAGTCTGTGCATGAGGGTAGAGCGAATAAAACCTTGATCCCTACCTAGCACCCTTCTTAAAAATACGCTGGGTGCATTGGGTCTGTGAGTTGTTTAAGGCAAAATGGGAGGATTTCATCACAGTGTTCTAAGTGAACATCTCTTGCTGCTGTTATTTCTTTGTTGAGTAGTATAAGTTGAAACCATCCTCCCCTTTTTTCCTTTCCTTTCACCATCCTCACTCCTTGTTCTTTCATATTAATTGCCCTCTCTAGTGTGTGCCAGGCACTACACTAGGCAATAGAATTGATGAAGAAAAAGTCTGATGAATGTTAACTTTAACAATGTGCTTGGTGGTAGATACAGAGAATAGTAGGTTATAATTTCTGTTTTCAAGCCTTGACAATGTGGTGGAACAAATACATACTGCATATGCAGGAAATCACCATATATCATGATGAATCATAAAAAACAGGTTTAGACAGGGTGTTATAGGAGCCCAACAGAGGGAGGGTATCCTAACTGATAGGTTCACACAGAGGATATGGAGCAGTTTAATAACTTTTCCTAAAAGTGAATTGGTTAAAAACTAACTTAGGAGGGAACTTTTGGAGTTAGTGTTCCCATAATTCTTGTAATTGAAATGGGAGCATTGTGACCACGGCTACTTACTATTTTATTTCTTTCCAGAATTAGCATAAGGGTAGCCTCTCCAATAGATAAAAAGTAGTATCATTTTTGCCTTTCACCATTAGTTGGCCTTCAGTTTTGTTGGAGTAGTCCTTGAGGATTTTTCGTGTCTTAAGGGGCAATTTATTATGTATCCAGCAGCTCAGTTTTTCTACATTTACAAATGGGAGGAGTATTAATATCTTACTAAATGGTATCTTTTAGTAAGAATATTTGTTAAAGGAATGCAAGAGAATAATAGCTAATATACCATTAAAAATAAAGTTGGAAAAGTTACACTAATGGATGTTTCTTTGCCCAAAGTAATCATGAAATTATTTTTATAAAACTACCTGTTACATAATAGCATCCATTTGAGGGTCAGCATGAAATAGGCCACTTACGAAGATAAGCCCCAAACTTTGGAAGATTAATAATCTACAGATGATACCATGATAAGAAAAATAATTAGTAAAACTTCTTGATTTTGAGAATGTTTCATAAATTGGTTTAGCCACTTGTTAGCATTTTACCAGGTAATATGCAAGTTTAGGACATATTTAATGAATTTGTACTGAACCAGTTATTTTACAGTGTGCTTCAGGTTGATGATACCTCATAACTTTATTATGAGGTATCATAATATTACCTTTTCAAATCATAAACTGTTAGTCACGGGTATATCTTGAAAACTGCTTAATAAATGTAAAGCCAGGGGCGCCTGGGTGGCTCAGTTGTTAAGCGTCTGCCTTCGGCTCAGGTCGTGATCCCAGCGTCCTGGGATCGAGCCCCACATCGGGCTCCCTGCTCTGCGGGAAGCCTGCTTCTCCCTCTCCCGCTGCTTGTGTTCCTTCTCTCGCTGTCTGTCAAATAAATAAAATCTTAAAAAAAAAATATAAAGCCAACTCTTGGCACTTGAACATAAAGGAATTATTCCTAGATTAAAATTGTTCCTAGGGAACACCTGGTTGGCTCAATCAGTAAAGCCTGCGACTCTTGATCTCAGGATCATGAGTTCAAGCCCCATGTTGGGTGTGGAGCTTATTTAAAAAAAAAACAAAAACTTTTTTTTTTGTTTCTAGTATTACTTTGTTTTTCTTTTTCGAAATTAGAGTAGACATTCCTCATATCTTACATGATACTGCACATGTACAGCCCAGCTAGCCTTTAGGATTCAGTCACCCAAAAGATAAATTCCAGGCCCCAAATTGTTAACTGGAAATTCATTTATAATTATTTTTATTTAAAAGAAATGCAAAGTTACTAGAGACTTTGGTATTTGTACCTTTTATTCTCTTTTCCCAATGGCTTCTGGCTACAAGACAGTGTGAGGGGACAGGGTCACCCTGTGTATATCAGGAAATTATATTTGCTAGTTAAATCAGGTAAGGCATAATCTTTGTCTGAAGACCACCATTTGTTCACTATGGGGCTTAGGTTCCAGACCCCAGACCTTAAGATATTACCAAAGGGTGATTTCATGAATCTGTATTTGGACCCCAGTTACATATAGGGGGTATTTGGGGGTAATTATTGTTAAACCCTTTTTAACAAATACGCTACCTCATAGAATTGGCAGAATCTAGTATTGCTGTATCATATTCTGAAAACTAAATATGGTCTAGAAGCTCTATGTCTATTTGGTGTAATTTAATGCTGCTTCCCTGATCTTTCTGCTATCTACAGAGCCAGAGCCCAGAGGTGGAGCAGTTAGGGAGGGTTGTGGAACTGGACAGTGACATGGTAGATATCACCCAGGAGCCAGTTTTGGATTCCATGTTAGAAGAGAGCGTGCCTGAGGATCAGGAACCTGTGTCTGCCTCAACACACATTGCATCTTCACTGGGAATTAATCCACATGTCTTACAGGTGAAGTCCTAACCCACCCTTACTATAATAGGAAGCCGAACTAATCTTTATCTCCCTTTCATAACCTTGGGCTTCTTCTTGATTATTCACTGAAGAGCATTGAGTGGTCATTGGGGTGAGGAAAAAAACAAGAATATGGCCCATATTCTGGGAGGGAAGGGGACGGCTATATTGAGATTCAGAAGACCTGGATTCTAACCCTGGTTTTATAACTATTACTATGTGACTTTAGGAAAGTCATTTAACATCTGTGAGCAGATTTTTCTCTATAAAATATACTTTGTTTCCTTCATAGGGTGGTTTTGAGGCTCTAGAAAGTGCTCCATAAAAGTTTTTTAATAGCCTAGTAGATACAGGTTTCCTTAAACTCTGTCTCAACTTCCCCCTACCTATGCCTTTTGGCACGTTTTAAGTTGAGCCTTTGTATTGGGTTTGAAGTTAATCATTCAGCAGGCAGGTGAGCAAGTGCTGTGTGCCATGTTTTGGCGAGACTCGTCTAAAGAGGAGTGTATTCTATAATTTTTACCCTTCGGGCACATGCAGTGTAATAGAGTCAGCCACACAGATATTATACTAGCTCTGGACACAGCCTTCAGGCAAACCGACTTATGGGTATTGGAAACTGCATTTTTCTCTTATGGCCTTTGGATTTGGGGGAGCACATTCATTCTATAGATATTGCCTTTTTAGATCATGAAAGCATCATTGCTTGCTGATGAAGAAGATGTAGATATGGTTCTGGATCAACGCTTCAGTCACCTTCCTTCTAAAGCAGATACTTCTCAAGAAATCTGTTCTCCCAGACTCCCCATTTCAGCATCCCACTCATCAAAATCCCGTTCTTTAGGTACTGTAACTGATGCTATTTTACGAGAAAGCCATAAAGTCCTGCTTTTCACCTATCTTCTTAGATGAGTCAACTTCTCTCGCGAATATCCCCCTAAAGGCATATGACTTTAGGATGCCAAGAGGAGATGTACTCTTATAAATATGTTAGGTGGGCCAGTTTTTAAAAACCACAATCAGCTTTATTGGTGCAGATGCAGAAGTTGTATGGAGAACAAAGCATTTGTGTTTTGTTCAGGTTATGTTTTTATTTGCTTGTGAGTGGATTAGATAGTAAGCTCAGATTTTCTACTTTTTATCACACCTTAGAGGAGTGAGCGAGTTGCCCTGCACTGTACTCTTTTTGTGCAATCCTCATGCTATCCTTATTTTATAGCCTTCCGGGGGCAAATGTTGCTTCTTAAAACGCACAAAACTTGTCAGATTTCTACCTTTTCCTAAACCTCCCCAAATTCTTAGGGAAGTAATATTTGATTTTAAAGCTTTCCCTTTTTTCTTGTGGGCCTGTAACTGTGTGGGATTAGGGATAGAGTACTGATGTCAACAAATCTCAAAACAAAGCCAGAGGAACTATCAGGAAGAGATTTGTTTATGTTGCCTTAAAAACTAAGTGTTTCATTTTCAATTCTTTCAGGTGCCCTTATTAACTTCCTTTTAAAAAATATTTTAACTGATAAACCATCAATTAAACATTCACTACAACCTTTTCCATAATGGGCACTACATGAAAATCTCATACTTCAATAACTGACTCCTTGTTTTAAACAGAATTAGAAAACAGGCAATAGTAATAAGAACTGTCTTTCTGAAGGGCGCAAGATGCCACAGTGGGTTTTTGTTTCATTGAGTCTAGCATTGATCATTAGAGTGGTAGCAATTTGAATTTTGATCTTACTAAGTTTTTTCTATGGACTAAGAAATGGTTACATTTAGCATTCTGATAAGGGCATGAACATTGGTGTCAGACTTCCCTGGACTTAACTCTCAATCCTGCCACTTAGTAGCTTTGTGGATTTGTACTGAACACTTTTCTGAGCCCACTTTTCCCACCTGTAAAATGAGGGTAAAAGTGTTCTTCATCTGAAGTTATTGAAGGGTGAAATGAAACAGTGTATACAAATGGCTTATACAGAATCACAGTTAAGAGCTTAATTATTTTTTTAGAACAGTAGTGGCAGTGTTTGTTATTAATGTTAATATTGTTGTTGGCATCATCATCACTAAAATTCCTGCCTTGATTTCCTGGTTGAAAGAGTATTCCACAGGCTCTGAGTTGCTTCTTGTCATCTGTATCTGATTTAATTGGTTTGGTAAAACTAATTTCAGCCTCACTGATTATTGCTGTTCAAGAAGCAATAGAGACTATATTTTCTAATAGTCTTTTTTTTCCCCCTATTTCAGTTGGTGGGTTACTACAATCAAAGTTTACCAGTGGAACTTTTCTTTCACCAAGTGCCTCTGTACAAGAATGTCGTACTCCCAGAGCAGCATCTTTGATGACTATCCCATCCACATCTCCTTGGTCTGTCCCTCCACCCCTGACCTCTGTGTTTACAGTGCCCAGCCCAGCCCCTGAAGTTCAGTTGAAAACTGTGGGTACACGCAGACAACCAGGCCTAGTCCCTCTTGCAAAGTCTGTCACCTATGGCAAGGGGAAACTCTTGATGGACATGGCCCTATTTATGGGACGCTCATTTCGAGTTGGTTGGGGCCCCAACTGGACTCTTGCTAATAGTGGAGAACAGCTGAGTGGCTCTCATGAACTGGAAAATCATCAGATTGCCGATTCTATGGAATATGGATTCCTGCCTAATCCAGTAGCTGTTAAATCGTGAGTCACAATTTCCTTATGCTTTTTTTTTTTTTTTTGGAACAAGAACCAAGTTTATTTGTTCATTTCTTGCACTTAAAGTCTGTACACGTTCAGAGAAACTTCTCTAGTAACGAACTATAGAAATGATCCCTGAAAGTATAGTCTTTTCTTATGCTTTTTGAGAAAGACAACTTGGTAGGTAAGGAAAACCTTTTCATTTTCAGGAGACCCAAAGTCAAGGCCCTGCTTTGTGATCTTTCTAGAAATGTTTTTAGTACAACTTTAGATAGCAGAAGATCTTTGTATAATTAAAAACTAAACTGATTGATAAGATAACTCCACTTGTATCATCAAGGTGTGAAGAGTATATAATACTTAGTGGTTAAACTTTATTTGGAAATGTAACAGACCCAAAGCTGATGCTGTAGCATTCCTTGTTTTTTTTCATCCTTTTTATTACATTAGTCTTTTTTTCCTATTTTCTCACTTAGATACTTGTGTTTTTTTCATATATAAGGTATATTCTCAAATAAGCACATTTCCTGTATCTTGGGCCTTGTAAGGTGAATGTATAAACTGTGTATAGTCCATACATAAAATATTTGGAAGTAAGATGACATCTGATAGGAGCTCCTGGCTGGCTCATTCAGTAGAGCGTATGCTTGATCTTAGCTTTATGAGTTCAGGCCCCACATTGGGTGAGGGGCTTACTTTAAAAAGAAAGAAAAAGATGACATCTGGTAACTGTATTATGTTATATATTACTACATAATCCCCACCGTTAGCATTTATATATGTGTGCTTACAGTTCTATATACTTTGTATATGTGTATATGAATGAGTGTGCATGTGTGTGTGTATATATGTATATCTCAGGCAGATGATGTATGTGTAGTTCCTGGTAGTTATTAGTATGCATAGTTTTTTTGTGCAAAATATATAATGTTTTCCTATTTTGTATAACACATTGTGCTATCTTTATTACAGATTTAATGACTGTGATTACCTGTTATGCTTAGTTTTTAAAAAATTGACTTTGAACAAATACAAAACAACAGCATCTCTTGAACCTCACAATTAGTAATGTTGACCCTAAACCTAGTTTATGCATGACATCATATTTTGAAAGTTGTTAGTATCAATCTTAAAATCGAATGAAGACCAGATTGATTATATACTCTTAATTTAGAGTCAGTTCTACAGTGTTTATGAGCTTAGCCTCATGACTTTTGATACTTTACTAAGTGTAATTTGAGAAATCAGTATCCCTCAGTGGCTTTTGGCCCTTGGATTTCATAATATCTAGATACATGTTGAAGCCAGTTCCAAATCGAACTGTATTGATTCGCATGCTTGTTATAACCTGGCTTTAAGAAGCCTTTGGATTCTGAATGCATGGGCCAGGTAATTTGTTTACTCATTATGTAGCAAATAAGTTCATTATAGTTTAACATTAAGAAACACAATTTCTGTAAAATCACAGGGAAATGTTTGTCATTCCCTTTGTAACCATAAAAAGAAACAAAGGTTTGTAGGAAAATTCTAGCATCTGTCTTAACTTCATTTTCTGTCTTGTTTGTCATTTGCCCTTGTAGCCTTACTGAGTCTCCATTCAAAGTTCATTTGGAAAAACTCAGTTTGAGACAGAAGAAGCCAGATGAAGACCTGCAGCTATACCAGATACCTCTGGAGCTCAAATTAAAACATAGCACTGTCCATGTGGATGAGCTGTGTCCTCTCATTGTCCCTAATCCAGGAGTTGCTGTCATTCATGACTATGCAAATTGGGTTAAGAAAGCATCAGGAGACTTTCTGGAAGCACAAAGTGAGTTTGAACTGTTTCTATTCTAACCTTTGATGTTTCAGGAACTGCCATAGAAGCATGTGTTCATAGGAGGACAAGTTTCCTTAAGCCAATGTAGTGAGCAGATGCCTGAGCTCACAGTTGTCTGTAGTTGAGTTGGAATGAGCAAAATCTCAAGGAAGGAGAAATGATAACATTTTTACAATTACTCTTATGGCTTTTAACATCCAAGTCCTTGTTTATAGGAACTATATAGCCAAATTCCTTGGATTTTTGAAATTGCATTCCTTCTTCCACCCAGAGAGTATAGGGAGAAAAAGCCATTCCTTCTTGCTTTTCTAAATCCTGCCCATTCTTGGGCGCCTGGGTGGCTCAGTCGTTAAGCGTCTGCCTTCGGCTCAGGTCATGATCCTCAGGGTCCTGGGATCGAGCTCCGCATCGGGCTCCCTGCTCCGCGGGAAGCCTGCTTCTCCCTCTCCTACTCCCCCTGCTTGTGTCCCCTCTCTCGCTGTGTTTCTCTCTGTCAAATAAATAAATAAAATCTTTAAAAAAAAAATAAAAATAAATCCTACCCATTCTTCCATGTCCAGCTTAATAAGTACCACTTGGTTTTCCCAACAATTTAATGTTCATAACTTCCCTTCCTAACCTCTCCATTACCTTTCTATTACCATTGTGACCATGGTTTTCTAAACCAATACTTTGATAAAGGGCTTTTCTAATTTGGGAACTTACTATTTCAAATCGTAGAAAAATTATATTTTACCTTTCACAGTATTTCACCATTATTGAAGAATGGCCACTATTTTAAACTGTTCCATGCCACACATTTTGAGAATTGTAGATACTCATTTCTTTGTGTTTGCTTCAGTTGTCTAATCTTCTTTTCAAGCATGTGTGTCATCTTCCCAGTGTATACTTGTATTTTGCTTAGTGGTAAGCAGTGCTTCCATTTTGTTTTCCTTCCTGAGGAGCAATACGAATAGTAGTTAAGAATGTAGAGTTGGACTCCAATTACTTGGGTTCAAATCTTGGCTCCGTTACATGTTGCCTATAACTTTGAGCAAGTTACTTAATGCTCTGTACTTCAGTTTCCTCATCTGTAAAATGAAGATGGTAACTCCTGTATGGTTACATTGTGTAGTTTAGAGTTGGCTTTACTCTTAAGTGCTTACAGCAGTGTCATTTAGGCTCATTAAATGTTAAGCTGTGCCTACTACAGGAGAGAAGACTCCCTCACAAGTTTTTAGAGCACTTCATATTTCTTAAAGCATTTTGTAAACAGAATTTAATCAAATTGGAGGATTTTTCTCTGTAATTTGAGATTATATTAGCCATAATGCAGCTTATAAGAACCTGTTTAAAGGAACACAGGGCTAACATTTGTTATATAAGTACCACAAGAATATGGAATGAACAAGCAGTTATACTACACACCTCTGGAACTTGTAAGACACAGCAGAGTGAGCTGGAGACAGATTAAGGGAAATCAGCTTGAGTGGTTGTTTGGGGTATTTATTAATTTATGTATTTTTATGCCACAGTTAGAATGATGTCCTCTTTGTAGGTACTTTGACTTCATGTCATAGCATTGTTTTCCTGTCCCTTCTTTAGTTGTGAAGCACTGGAGCCTAACATGGACATTATGTGAAGCCTTATGGGGCCACCTGAAGGAGCCTGACAGCCAGCCGGATGAGCCTAGTGAATACATTCAGATTCTGGAGCGAAGAAGAACTTTTTCTCGCTGGCTATCCCAAACTGCTGCACTTCAAATTGAGGAGGAAGTCTCCTTAACCAGAAAAGACAGGCCTGTGGAGGCTGTCTTCAGCTACCTCACAGGCAAGAGGATCAGTGAGGCCTGCTCTCTGGCCCAGCAGTCAGGTAGGGCGTATGGTCCTTCTCTGCACCCTTATCTACATCCTATTCACCAGTGGTCCCTACCCCTTAACTATAGATTTGCCTTTGTCTTCTAACCTGAAGTAAGTATAAACTTTCCAGGAAGATTGCTGGTTCCTCCAGAATAGGGACTGTGTTTTCTAGTTTTCTCTTTAGAACCTTAAGCATTAAGTTTATTTAATTAAAATTATTTTAATTTTGTATGCTACATATGCATTTCTGGTAAAACTAGAAGATACAGATAAGCAAAAAGCAATAAACCCAAATCACATAAATCCTTTAGTATTTACTATATGCATTTCAATGTACAGCTTGTACTTGGACTGTTTACTTTGTAATATATAAGGTATATTAAAATTTGTGTACACAAAGCAACATATGCGTGTAAACTTTTCAAAGATGGTCCCCTGCTACATATATATGTATATATAGTGTTCTTTTCATGTTCTCTAATACAGATGTTATAGTCAAATGCTTCTCAGTATTCTTTTACCTACAAATGTACCATGTTAGCGAATTCCTTTTTTAATATTAGGCTTTTTTTCCTCCCACTATAAGCAATACTCTGAACCTTTTAAACATAGGTTTTTTGCATTATGTAAATTTAATTTCCAGGTTGAGATATTTACTTTTTTTTTTTAAGGACTTCCCATTATATATTTGTGCTTTTTTTAGTTCCCCTTCCACTAATGAGAGGCATTCCACAAGTACTTAATAACTCTCCGGACACAAATCTTGATAAGAATAAAAGATGGCATAGTCCAATTTAATCTGTGTATAATAAGATCCCTGATCAAACCTTGTTACTAACTTGTCTGAAACCAAATAATTGGATCCATTAATTGGATTTATTTTTTGGAGGACTTGGCCAGTTTGGATTGTAAGGAACAAATCATAGGAAAGGCTAGAATCAAGAACTTTTCTACGTGGACAGTTGCGTTCCACGGTCACTACATGTTTAGCCTTTTGTGATCTTCATATATTTTTGTACAGTGAGAATTTGTCTTCAGGATTGGCCTTTTATAAAGTTAAAAAGATAAAGAGATAAAGTTATGCTCACCAACACATGTATGTATAGCAGAAGAAGATCTTAAGGAGTGCCAGAAGTCAGGTCTTTAGATTTATTTGTTCACAAATTCTCCTTTTTCCTCTACCCACCCCCCTTTTTTTCTCTTCTTTAAGGTTAAACTTTGGCAAGGCATTACCTTTCAGCTTACTAAAAAACTTTTGCTTCACTACCTCCACTTTTAATAATTGATAGAACAACTAAACAATATCAAGAATGTAAAATACTTGAGACACCTGGGTGGCTCAGTTGGTTAAGCTTCTGCCTTCCACTCTGGCCATGATCCCAGGGTCCTGGGATTGAGTCCCACATCGGGCTCCTTGCTCAGCAGGGAGTCTGCCTCTCCCTCTGCTGTTCCCCGTTTGTGCGCGCTCTCTGTCTCTGACAAATAAATAAAAATCTTTAAAAAAAATTTAAAGAATGTAAAATACTTGAACACTATCAGTGTTACCTTATATCTACCAACAAGAAGAAAGACCTCAAATCAATAACCTAAGCTTCTACCTTAAAGAAACTAGCAAAATAAGAACTAAACCGAAAGGTAGAAGAGAAGAAATAGTAAAGACTAGAACAGAAATAAATGAAAATGACAGTGTAAAAAGACAGTAATCAATAGCACCGAACATTCGTTCTTTGAAAAGAGTAAGAAAGTTTACAAACCCTTAACTACACTGATTATGAAAAAGAAAAAAAAAAAAGGAAAGGCCCAAATTACCAAAAACAAGCATGAAAGAAAGAACATCACTACTAACCCTACAGTAAAGGGACTACTATAAGAAATTCTGTGTCATCAAATTCAACAAGTTAGATAAAATTGACAAATTCCTAGGAAAATATAAATTATGAAAACGGACTCAAGAAAAAGTAGAAAATCTAAATAGATCTGTAACAAGTAAAGAGGTTGAATTAGTAACTAAAAAATCTTCACTCAGAAAAGCCAAAGTCCGGATGTTTTCACTGGTAACCAACACTGTTTTTACAGAAGTAATACCAGTCCTTTACAACTCTTTCAGAAAATATAGGGAGCACCTCCCATTTTGTTCTATGATGACATTATTACCCTGATGTCAAAGCAAATGTACAAAAAATCTGCAGCTAACGTCATAATGTTGAGACTGAATGATTTCACCCTAAGATTGGGAACACCATTTCTATACAGCATTGTAATGGATGTTGTAGCCAGTGTAATCAGGAAAGGAAAAGAAGCAAAAATGGCATGAATTCTGTATGTCGACAGTTCAGTACTAAGGACTCCACAGAAAAGGCAGTGAGACTAAAACTAGTTGAGCAAGTTCTCAGGATTCAAGATTAGTATACAAAATTAAGTTGTGTTTCTATGTATTAGCAACAGACAATCCAAAAATGAAATTAGAAAAACAATGCATTCACAATAATATCAGAAAGAATAAAATACTTAACGAATAAATGTAACAAAAATGAGACTTGTACTATAACTATAAAACAGTAATGAGGAAATAAAGATCTACATAAACAAAGAAACACATTTCCTGTTCATGGAATACATCTCAGTTTCAGCACTATTGTCATTTTTGGCTGGTAATTTTTTGTGTGAAGGCTGTCCTGGGCGTTGCAAGATACTTAATAGCATCCCTGCCCTCTGCCCATAAGAGTCCTTTACCCTCAGTTGTGACAACCAAAAAAATACCTCTAGACATTGCCAGATGTTCCCTGGGGAACAAAACCACTCAGATTGGGCGCCTGGGTGGCTCAGATGGTTAAGCGTCTGCATTCAGCTCAGGTCCTGAGTCCCACATCGGGCTCCCTGCTCCTTGGGAGGCTGCTTCTCCCTCTGCCTCTCTCTCTCTCGCTCTCTCTGTCTCTCATGAATAAATAAATAAAAAAATTAAAAAAAAAACCACTCAGATTGAGAACCACTAATAGATGGGAACCTCAGTGTTAATTGATTTGTACATTCAGTGCATTTGTGGTTTTTTTTTTTTAAGATTTTTTATTTATTTGACAGAGTTAGCGAGAGCAGGAACACAAGCAGGGGGAGTGGGAGAGGGAGAAGCAGGCTTCCCGCTGAGCAGGGAGCCCGACGCAGGGCTCAGTCCCAGGATGCTGGGATCATGACCTGAGCCGAAGGCAGACGCCCAACGACTGAGCCACCTAGGCGCCCTTTCAGTACACTTTCTATCAAAATGCCCAGAAATTAATAGGCTGATCCTTATTTGGAAATGTAAAAAACCTGAACAGTTTTGGAAAAGAAGAACAAAATCAGGGAACTCCACACTTGTCTGATTTCAAAACTTCTGTGAAGCTGCAGCAGTCAAGACAATGTGGTACTGGCATCAGGGTGAACATAGAAAAATAGAATAGAAACGAGACTTCAAACATAAAACCCTCCCACTTACAGTCAGTTGATTTTGGACAAAGGTGCCAAGGTAATTTAAATATGGAAAGGATAGTCTTTTGAAAAGATAATGCTGAGATAGTTGAATATTCATATGCAGAAGGTTAATTTATATTCTTACCTTACACCATACACAAAAACTAACTTGAAGTAGTACCCTAGAATCCTGCCATTTGTTCAGTATATGTCCTCATCAATGGGAAAGTCTTTGTGAAAAGTCAAGGATTGGCAGAAGCCAATTGGTTGGTTGACAGTGTAATCAAAGCAAAGAGAGAATCTTCATGAATGTATCGTATCAAGCTCTGAAACTCAACCATCTCTAGTGACCAGGATATTTATACATCTTGGCCAATAAATCCTGTCTTTTGGGTTCTCTGGATACACTGAAATAATCTTTTCTTTTTTCCTTTTAGTATCACTCACCTAGAATACTAGCAGCTCATGGTCAAGTGGGCTACACAGCACTAACTGGATGAATCATAGTCCAATCATGCTTTGATTACCTGTATACAGAGAGACCATTTATCCTGCACATTTCCAGATGTGCTCTTGATGCATGATTTCTTTCGTCTAGGCCTCTCTAGTTTGTGAAGGAAACTTTTGCGCTGAGCGCCTCAGTTTTGGCAGGATGGTACTTTATGTAGACCTGTAAGCACTGACCCATATACAAAATAGGAGGACTATTGACTTTTAGGTGGTTTGTAGTAAGGGCTGAAACAAAGCATTTTTCTCTTAACTTACAACTTAACTGGAAGTTTTCATAAACTGGAATTTCTATCCCCTTACATTCTGGTTAATAAAAATCTTTTTATTGCCTCAGCCCTTGGTACTTAAAATTTTTTAGTAAAAGAGATGATTAGACCTGTGAGAGTGAAAGTCAGTGATTCTCTATACCACACACGTGAACGTTTTGTCTGCGTTTCAGTTTGCCATTTCTCAGTGCCATTCTAGATGGGCATGTTTTCAATTATGTGATCTCAGTTTTCACTACAAACCTTTGAATCAGGTGATACTTTGCTCCATTTTACAGATGAAGTACCTTATCTAGGATCGCAGAAGTAATAGTAGATCTGTCATTGAACTCTGTACACTATACAGTCTATATGTAATTTAGGTTAAACTACTTTGAATATTTTATTCCCAAGCAGAAAATGGTAAGTTCTTGGTCAGTATTTTGGCACTACTGCAGAAAGTAATCACAGTATGAGGGCTAGAAGAAATAAGAGAATACCCCCAAGTGTTTCCCCAAGTGTGTTAATCCTCATGATCACCAGAGCACTGTTTCTCTTGTAGGTGATCATCGTCTTGCCCTTCTTTTATCCCAGCTGGTGGGCAGCCAGTCAGTCCGGGAGCTGCTTACTATGCAGCTGGTGGATTGGCAACAGCTCCAGGCTAACTGTTTCATCCAGGATGAGAGATTGCGCATCTTTGCCTTGTTGGCTGGAAAACCGGTACTTTCCTCTTTTCTCATAAACTTGCAAAAATTTTCTGATAAATTCAAGTTGGCTTGAGGTAAAGGGAAAGAGCTATCTTTGTAAATTCTATACTGTGACACGCAACTAAACAACTTGTTTTTAAATTTTAGTGGAATTATTTTCAAATTACAAAGGTACAACATGGACATTGTAAAAGAAAACTGGTTATATAGAAATTAAAACATTAAAATTCACAGTATTCCTTATCCTAGTGGTAAACAACGTAAATAATTTGTAGTCTCTTTCCAGACACATTATAAGTCTATATCAACATATATGTGTGCATATTTACATGTGTGTATATTCCAATAAAATCAGTTATAAATAGCAGTTCTGCAAGTTAACTGTATGTGGACATTTTTTCATGTCGTGTAGCATCACTCTTTTTAGTAGCCACTTCTGTTCATTTTATGGGTGATATAATTATTTTAAGCCAGTTTTCTTTTGCTGCCTGCCTGATTGACATCTTGATGTCACTTTCCAAAAATGAAATAGCTGGTCAGAATTTATGCACAAATTAAAGTATTATAAGATGGCAACTGTAGGCAGTAAGAAGACCTCCTCTTCACTCTCTCTGGTTCTCATCTCTTCTCAGAGTACCGATAGTCTAAATCCGCCCTCTCACCTGCCACCAAGGAATTATGTATTTTATATTTGGATCATTAATGCTGCCAGTCTAGTTCATTTAAACTGTTACTTGAATAGGGGCACCTGGCTGGCTCAGTCGGTAGAGCATGCAACTCTTGATCTTGAAGGTCGGGAGTTTGAGCCCCATGTTGGGCATAGAGATTACTTTTAAAAAAGAAATAAAATGTTACTTGAATAAGTGAGAAACTTGCAAATCTGGGCAGTAACAAGAGAATGTATAACACATAGCTGTGATGATGATTTTGTCTCCTGCAGGTATGGCAGCTCACAGAGCACAGGCAGATCAATGTGTGCTCATATTTGGATTGGAAACGCGTCCTGGCTGTTCATCTTTGGTATTTGCTTCCACCAACAGCCTCAATTTCCAGGGCACTCAGCATGTATGAAGAAGCATTTCAGGTATTTATGTCCAGTAGAGCCAACCAAGAGTCATGGGGGGAGTTCTGTTTTTGCCAGAAAAGTACTGCAGAGAAAAAAACATCAAGGCACACTTCATAATACTTTTTCCTAACTGCTTTTTTTGGAAGTACCATAAAATTGAAATGGACCCAGGAAATCTGATGGGAAACTTTTCTCCTGCCTCTGGACAGGGCTACTCTTAAACTTCTCCAAGTGTCTGCTTCTATTTTATTTAATATGATGTTTCCACAGTTGACTTTCTTAAAGCTGTTTTCCTGCCCCCAAATGAGAGGGTTTTTCTTTATTCCTAATGCTGTTTTATCCTTTTGGGAATTCCCTGAGATACAGCCCATCCTCAAGTTTGGTATAGCCCCAAATTAGCAGGCCTGAAAAATTTGCCTCTAAATATCATATTTCATATGCCTTGACGGTGTTGAGATTAAAGTATTCATTAATGTGAGGGGTGCCTGGGTGGCTCAGTTGGTTGAGCATCTGACTCTTGGTTTCAGCTCAGGTCATGGTCTCAGGAGCGTGAGATCGAGCCACACATCAGACTCTGTACTCAACAAGAAGTCTGCTTGAGATTCTTTCTCCCTCTCCCTCTGTTCCCTCTGCCTCACACTCACACTCTCCGTCTCTCTCTAATAAATAAATAAAATCTTTTTTATTTTTATTTTTTTTTTGAAGATTTTTATTTATTTGACAGAGAGAACACAAGCAGGGGGAGTGGCAGGCAGAGGGAGAGGGAGAAGCAGGCTCCCCACTGAGCAGGGAACCCAATGCGGGGCTTGATCCCAGGACCCTGGGATCATGACCTGAGCTGAAGGCAGACGCTTAACCGACTGAGCCACTCAGGTGCCCCAAATAAGATCTCTTTTTAAAAAGTATTATTAATGTGGGGTTTTTTAACTTACTATTTTCTTTAGGGAGAGAGAGAGTACGAGAGGTAGTGGGAGGGTCAGAAGGATAGAGAGAATCCCAAGCAGGCTCCACACCTCAATTTCACAACCCTGAGACCATAATGGCTGAAACCAAGAATCGGACGCTTAACCAACTGAGCCACCCAGGCGCCACTGTTAATGTTTTTAAAGCCCTCATTTCTTCAGTTCTTTTCTTACTGTCCACAGTTACTATCTTTGATATCACTTGTCAGAATTGTCAGGAGAAAGAGAACACTAAAGAAACTGAGTGTAATAAGAATTGTGACAAGAAATAAAAAAGAATGTGACAAGAAAGGTATGAGGATTAATGACAGCTATCCAAAGTCTTTGATAGTCACTTGAAGACAGGTGGGCCATGTCACTGCAAAATAAGCTTAAGATCCTTGACACATTCCATTAGGGTGTCATCATTCTTAATACATGTGTCTAAGTTACTGATACATGATCACATGTAGTGAAACACACTCGCAGGTGGTGTACTGTTTTATCAAATTCTTCCCTTCAGAATCCCTCTGAGGCTGACAGGTATGCCTGCTCCCCACTTCCTGCATACCTGGAGGGCTCTGGCTGTGTGGTAAAGGAGGAAGAAAACTCACAGAGACCACTTCAAGATGTCTGCTTTCACCTTCTAAAACTCTACAGTGACAGGTAAGTCAAAGCCATGCATGATAGTCACTTGAGGGCTTAAATCAGCCCTAGGGAGTCCTTTCCTGAGTTTTTTCCCTTTAATGTGAAGCCAAATTGCCATAAGTTGGTATAAATTAACAAAGTATAATTTATAGTAGTTGAATGCAAAGAACATTGGAACTAGGGTTAGAAATCTAGAAAGTGATTAATAAGATACAATTTACAAATAGGGAAGTGTGCATTATAGTATAGTGTAACTGGCATCATCAACATATCAATTACATTACCCCCCAAAAGTTCCCTCATGCCTCTTTGCAATCAGTCCCCACCCCCAAATAAGTAACTAACTGACTTTTTGTTACTATAGATTAATTTTGTGCTCTATTGGGATCATTCTGTTAAATTTTGTGCCTGGCTTCTTTCGTTCACATAATGGTTTTGAGATTTATCCATGTTAATACGTGTTTTAGAAGGTTTTTTTATTGCATAATTTATTCATTTATTGATGGAAAGTTAGTTTTTCTTGATTTTGACTATTACGAATAAAGATGCCATGAACATTTATATCCAAAAGTGTTCATATCATTTTACATTCACACCTAGAACTCTAGGTGTTCCATATTCTTTTCAAAATTTGGTACTCTCAGTTTTTTAAATTTTGCCATTTTAATGGGCATATAGTGGCATCTCATTGTGTGTGTGTTGTTGTTAAACAAGAAACTGGTTTATTTATCCTACAGCAGTATATGAACCCATTCTATTATTACAGATAATCAGTTAATTAAAACTATCTCAGCGGAACTATTACACATATTATCAGAAACACTGAGGGATTTTTTCCAGTCATATCTAATCACTCCTATGTCATTTCAGTTATTTAAATACTTTTAAGTATTAAGTATGTAACTATGTTAGAAGATGATATAGTTTTTGTTTTAAGATTTTATTTATTAGAGTGCACACAAGCGGTGGGAGCGGGGGATGGGGGCAGAGGGAGAGGGACACGGGGCCTCGATCTCAACCGAGTGAGCCACCCAGGCACCCCCAGATAATACAGTTTTGTATTGTGGTAAACTATAAATAACTAAAGTAGGGCTCCTGGGTGGCTCAGTCGTTAAGTGTCTGCCTTCGGCTCAGGTCATGATCCCAGGGTCCTGGGATCGAGTCCCACCTCGGGCTCCCTACTCTCAGCGGAAAGCCTGCTTCTCCCTCTCCCACTCCTCCAGCTTGTGTTACCTCTCTCTGTGTGTCTCTCTCTGTCAAATAAATAAATAAAATCTTAAAATAAATAAATAAAGTAGTGCTTTAATTTGCACTCCCGAATGACTAATGATGTTGAGCATTTTTTCATGTGCTTATTTACCATGGTCTCTGTATCTTCCTTTCAAAAGTGTCTGTTCACATTTTTTTGCCTATTTTTTAATAGAGTTGCAATAATTCTTTATATATTTTGGATATATATTTTATTATAAATGTGTTTTTGCAATTATCCTAGTATAAGGGCTTGTTTTTTTCAATGTCTTAAGAAAATGAAGAGAACTTTTACATTTTAAGTTCAATTAAAGTTTTTAAACTATAAAGTCAATTTCTTTACTAGTCCGTTGAGGTTTTCTATTTATTCTTGAGTCACTTTCGATCATTTGCTTCTACTAAGGAATTTGTTTCCCTGAAGTCATCAAATTTATTGGCGTAAAGTTATAACATTTTCCTTGTCCTTTTTAAATGTCTGTATGATCTGTAACTGTCTCTCTCCTTGATATTGGTAATGTGTGTCCTTTATCTTTTTTTCCTTGATTGGTTTACCTACAGCTTTTAGTTTATTGCTTATCTCTGTTATTTGTCCAGTTCAAAATGGATCAAAAACCTAAATTTCAAACTTAAACCAGAAAACAAACAGAAGAAACCAAACAGGAAAATCTTTGCACCTGTGAGTTAGGCAAAGATTTTTTTGACACCAAATAAATAATCTGTAGAAGAAAAAATTGGTGAACTGGACTTCAGAAAAATTAAAAACTATTAGTCATTGAAAAACTGTTAGGAGAATGAAAAGACAAGCCACAGATCGGGGGAAGATACTTGCGATTCATGTATCTGATAAAGACCTTGTATCCAGAACATATAAAGAACTTTAAAAAAAAAAAAAAGATTTTATTTTTTTGAGAGAAAGAGTGTGCAGGCAGGTGGAGTGGGAGAGGAAGAAGCCAACTCCGTGCTAAGCGTGGAGCCTGACACAGGGCTCGATTCTCAACCCTGAGATCATGACCTAAGCTGAAATCAAGAGTTGGATGCTTAACTGACAGAGCTACCCAGGTGTCCCCAGAACATTTAAAGAACTCTTAAAACTCAATTAAACAATCCAATTTTTAAAATGGGCAAAATATTTAAACATTTGCTTTACCAAAGAAGACCTAGATGTCAAACACATGAAAAAGTGTTCAGCATCAATAGACAACAGGGAAATGCAAATTAAAACCATCATGCGGTACCACTGTCCACCTATTAGAATGATTAGAAATTAAAAAGACCTAGGGCGCCTGTGTGGCTCAGTCAGTTAAGCCTCCGACTCTTGATCTCACCTCAGGTCTTAGGGTCATGGTGCAAGAGTCTCCCAGCATGGAACCTACTTTAAAAAAAAAAAAAACAACCCTTTACCAAGTATTGTGATAGATGTGGAAGCAAGTTGAATTCTCATACACCGCTGGTGAAAAATGTAAAATGGTATTGGCACTTTGGTAAACAGTTTGGCAGATTAGAAAGTTAGACATACACCTGCCTGCATATGATCCAGTCATGCCACTCCTAGGTATTTACCCAAAAGAATGAAAATATATATCTGTACACAAATGTTTGTAACAGCTCTGTTTGTAATGGTCCAAAACTGGAAACAAGCCAAATTTCTATCAACAGGTGAATAGATAAAACAAACTGTGGTATATCTATGTAATGGAATGCTACTCAGCAATAAAAGGGAATGAACTGTTGATACACACGATAGCAGAGTGAATCCCAAGATAATTTTACTTGGTTTTGAAAGAGGTGAGACAAAAAAGTACCCAGAAACATACATATTGTATGATTCCAATTTACCTAAAATTCTGGAAAGTGCAAACTGATTAATCCCAGAAAACAGATCATTGGTTGCCTGGGAAGAGTGGGTATAAGGAGGGGCAGGAAGAGGGGGAATACAAAGAGTCATAAGGAAACTTTTGGAGGTGATGAGTGTGTTTGTTATCTTGACCTTGGTGGTGATTTCACAGGTGTGTACATTTGTTAAAAATTAATGAAAATTGTACATTCTGAATATGTTCTGTTTACTGTATATCGGTTTTTTTTAATGTCAAAAAAAAGAAAAAGGAATATCTCAAAGTGCCAGTAATAGAGAAACTGGAGCCACAAGGAGATAGTGAACCTTGTTCTCATGAAAGGTAGAATTGCTCTAAATCCTTACATAAAGTCCACACCCATACAAATAAATAGACTAGAACTGCACTGTCCAACATAATAACTGCTATTCAGATATGACTATTTTAATTTAAGTAAACTTTTAAATTTAGTTACTCATTCACAGTAGTCACATTTCAAGTGTCTAATAGCCACATGTGGCTAGCTATTGGCTATCATTGGTCAGGGCAGGTTATAGAACATTTCCATCATCCCATAAAGTTCAGTTTGACAGCACTGGTCAAGAAAACTTCTGTTCATGGGTGCCTGGGTGGCTCAGTTGGTTAAGCGACTGCCTTCGGCTCAGGTCATGATCCTGGAGTCCCAGGATCGAGTCCCGCATCGGGCTCCCTGCTCAGCAGGGAGTCTGCTTCTCCCTCTGACCCTCTTCCCTCTCGTGCTCTCTATCTCTCATTCTCTCTCTCTCAAATAAATGAATAAAATCTTTAAAAAAAAAAAAAAAACTTCTGTTCATTACTTGGGGAAGTATTAGGAAGTTATAAAATGTCTGGGATCTTAGGTAAAAAGGTAAAGTTATTGGATGGTGATCTAAGCCCTAAAACTTACAGGTGTGAGATCTTAGTTTAATTGGGAATTGTAAGCTAAGAACTTTACACATAAACTGGTCCAGGACCATTAAAATCTTCGGGATGCCAGCAGGAGAAAGAGCAAAAGTCTGAATTTTTTCAGACGTTTCCTGGGCACCTGAATTTCCTTATACAGAGAATAATCCCCACTGTAGACAAAATCAAGAGGTAGAAATTACAAGCCATAGAAGGAAGTAACCATCATGAAGACTAGCTGTTCAAACAAACAGGAGACTTAGCACTCCAACAACTTCATATAATAGAACAGTCTGGAAAATCCTAATATAACTGCATGTTTTTAATGGTTAAGAATAGTATCAGGGTGCCTGGGTAGTTCAGTCGGCTAACCATCTGAACTTCGGCTCAGGTCATGATCTCAGGGTCCTGGGGTCCTGGGATCCTGGGATCAAGGCCGCACTCAGCAAAACGTCTACTCCCTCCCCCTCACTCCTCCCTAACTCATGCGCTCTCATACACTCTCTTTCAAACAAATAAAAATTTAAAAATAAATAAATGGTTAAGTGAAGGAATGAAGACTAAGAGTTGTGAAGACTCCATGTACACCAGGATGGTAAATATCTAAGCCAAACAAATACCAGCAAACCTATCAGATCACACAACCACAGAAGAGGAGGTGCCTTCATTTTTAGTAGGATCTGTAACCTGGCTGAACCTAGAAGTAGACTGATAGAGCACAGTCTCAGAGGGAGACCATGTGGTCTATAATGCTTCTTTTCTCGGGTGGCTGCCTTTATTATCTTCTAAACCATAGCCAGAACGGTTGACCTGTCCAGTGCAGGTGGTCTGCTGCCTTGATATGGTAACTCTCAGCACGTTTTCCTTTGCAGACATTATGATCTCAACCAGCTGCTGGAGCCTCGAAGCATAACAGCCGATCCTTTGGACTATCGCCTAAGCTGGCACTTGTGGGAGGTGCTGCGGGCTCTTAACTATACCCATCTCTCAGAACAGTGTGCGGGGGTGCTACAGACCAGTTATGCTGGCCAACTGGAAAGTGAGGGGCTGTGGGAGTGGGCCATCTTTGTCCTCCTGCACATTGACAACTCAAGGTGAGTAAGAAGCTGTGAACCCACTATACATTTAGTGCTACAGGGCAGTGCCAGTGACATCAGTCTTCTAGGGTTTAATTGAGTAAGTAAGCATCTAGAATGTATTTTGGGTCCAGCCTTGTGATAAACCTTAGGACAGTTCAACCCGCAGCTATCTCTTTATTCATGTGAACAAGTTGGAAATAAGACTGCCTTAAGTGCCAGATTATGCTATTTATTATAAGACCTCTCAGTAGTCTGAGAAGTGAGAAGCGATCTCTGCAGTGATCAGGGAAAACCCTAGACAGGAACAGGAAATAATTAACAGGAAGGGGAAGGATATGTCCACGTGGGGCTACCCCATTAACTTAGACACAGATTCACTTGAATGTTGCATGGTTAGGAATTATGCAGAAACAATGTTTGCTGAGCTGCCTCAGTGGATCTGTGGAGTGATGTAATGAGTTGGCAAGGAGGGCCCCTGCTTTTTCTGTCTGCTGGCTTTCTCCCTCTCTGGCTTTCCCTTGCCATCCACCCACACCTACCCCTCAAGTTTGATAATATATTTACCAGTATATCCTTGCTTAGATGCCTGATGTTTTCGTTCTCTGTCCCAAAAGAGCCTTTTCTCCATGGTGTGAATGAGATGAAGTTGGAGACTTCCTTTTTTGTTAATGGTAGTAGCATGGCATTACACTAATAACAAAAACATTTGTATAGTACTTTGTTGTATAGTACTTTTACATATATTTATACTCTGTTGTAAATACTTTACAACTCAATTGTAATTGATCAACTCAGTGCTCATAATGAACCTATAAGTGCCCTTATAATCTCTGTTTTATAGATGCGCAGCCTGAGGCACAGAGAGATTAAGTAATTTTTGCTCAAGGTCATATGGCTAGTAAATGGCAGAGTCTTCCAACTCAAGACACCCAGAGTCTGTGCTCTTAATCATTATGCTGCACTCTCTGTCATGTTACATAGTATGGAAAGGAGTTGAGTTTTGTAGTCAGACCTCCCTTAATTCTAGATTCATCATGTACTCACTTTGACCTGGAGTAAAGCTTACCCGCTTTGATTTTTGGTTAAAGATACTTTCTTCTTATCTGTAAAGTCATAATATTAATGCCTACCTAGTCAAAGGTGGTTGTGGGATTACAGGAGGAAAAGTAGGAGTGCCTGGCTGGCTCAGTTGGTGGAGTATGTGACTCTTGATCTTGGGGTCGTGAGTTTGAGCTCCACATTGGGTAGAGATTACTTAATAAAAAATTTTTGTTTTAAGGGGCTTCAGGGTGGCTCAAAAAGTTAAGCATCCGACTCTTGGTTTCAGCTCCGGTCATGATCTCAGGATCATGAGATCAAGCCCCATGTGGGTCTCTGTGCTCAGTACAGTCTGCTTGAGATTCTCTACCTCTTCCCTCCCGCTTTGCCCCTCTCGCAGCTCTCTCTTTCTCTCTCTCTCTAAAATCAATGAAATCTTTAAAAAAAAAAATATTTTTTTAAAGGGAGTAAAAGTATAAAGCATCTAGTACAGCCTTCCCTTTAAGGAATTTCTCCTCTTCTCCCTTACCAGGAAGCAAAATGACTTCATACTTTACTTTGAGTTTATTTAAACAAATTCACGGGGCATTTCACATGGTAAAAGCCTGGCTAATAAGATAACTGATGGTTTAAGAGTAGGCTCTAGGGAAGCAAATCCTATTTCCTGATAAAGGATTTTTTTTAATGAAATTTTCAATTTATTTTGTTTTTTTATTTATGTATGTATGTAGGTCATCTCTACACTCAACATGGGGCTCAAACTTAGGACCCTGCTCTTCTGACTGACCCAGCCAGGTGCCGCCTGATAAAGAATTTTAGAAACGGGGCACCTGGGTGGCTCAGTTGGTTAAGCGACTGCCTTCGGCTCAGGTCAAGATCCTGGAGTCCCGGGATCGAGTCCCGCGTCGGGCTCCCTGCTCAGCAGGGAGTCTGCTGCTCCCTCTGACCCTCTTCCCTCTCGTGCTCTCTATCTCTCTCATTCTCTCTCTCTCAAATAAATGAATAAATCTTTAAAAAAAAGAATTTTAGAAACGAAGCAGTTGAGATTGGGGGTCCGTGGAAAGCCTTGAAAAGGTCCTTGAAAAGGTGTTCAGAAAAGATTCTAAGACGAGGAAACTAGTTTTGATTTGATATTTAAACCTGGTCCTTTCGGGAGCGCCTGGGTGGCTCAGTCGGTTAAGCGTCTGCCTTCAGCTCAGGTCATGATCCCAGGGTCGTGGGAACATGATCCCAGGGTCGTGGGATCGAGCCTGCTCAGCAGGGAGCCTGCTGCTCCCTCTCCCTCTACCAGTCTCCCTGCTTGTGTTCTCTTGCTCTCCCTCAAATAAATCTGGTCCTTTGTGGCACCTGGGTGGCTGAGTCTGTTGAGCGTCTGACTCTTGATTTCGACTCAGATGATCTCAGAGTAGTGGGGTCAAACCCTGCATTGGGCTCTGTGCTGCTTGAGATTCTCCCTCTCCCTCTGCCCATCCCCCCCCCCCGTTCTCTCTCACTCTCTCGCTCTCTGAAATAAATAGCATCTTTTAAAAGAAAAATAAATAAATGGCTGGTCCTTTGACCCAGATAGGAAAGGACTCTCCTTAAGGGGCCTTGAGACCAAAAACAGTGAGGGTAGCCTAAATCTAGAGGCAGAGAGAAAATTAATTAGGAAAGCTGATGGTTTTGAAGGGAAAAAAGCAAACAAGGACCTGGAAGAGACCTTACCTTTAAAAACTAATTCATTTACTTGTACTGACCATATGGGAGAAGAGGAAGGGAGAAGGTTGGAAATGAACTACAAAGAATTACTCTGTGGGGAGAATAGGATTCTCCTATCCTAGTCCTTGATCTCCTATTACTAGGAAGAAAATAAAGAAAAGAGAGGGAAAGCCTTTTCTTAGTATTGGACAATCTTCCCTAGAGTATTAGTTTTCACTGTTTTTTGATCATGAAAATATAATGTGCTTAGATACTTCTATTTTATTTAAAAAATAAATGCTGATATGGATTTTTTTTTTTTTTTTTTAAGTGAGGTTTGAAGTGGTTCACTCATTGTTAAGACCTACAGTTTGAGAGGCAGCCTTCTCCCATCAATGAGGATAGGATGTATTCAGCATTGTCTTTCTTCCTACAGCATGCGTGAGAAGGCGGTTCGAGAGCTGCTTACCCGGCACTGCCAACTATTAGAGACCCCGGAATCTTGGGCTAAGGAGACTTTCCTGACCCAGAAGCTTTGTGTGCCTGCTGAGTGGATTAATGAGGCCAAAGCAGTTCGAGCACACATGGAATCTGACAAGCACTTGGAGGCCCTCTATTTATTTAAAGCTGGACACTGGAACCGCTGCCACAAATTCATCATCAAGTACTTAGCTTCTGGTGAGTGCTTCAGACTAGGGCCTGTGTCTCCTGGAATCACCCCAAATTCTTCCAATCCCAGAACCCCATGATTAGTCAGGCCAGAGATGATGTTCTGGGACTTTGCAGTCTTGAATCAGATTACACTTTGCAAAAGTTCTCTGTGCAGAAGAAACTTAGCCAGGATGAGGGGCTAGAGGGGCGGGGGTTGACAGGCTGTTACTTTACCATTTGCCAAGGTTATGATTGATATACATGAATTATGTTGAACTTCTTGTGTGTTTAGGGAATTTTATTTACCAGAATGTAAAAGGAGACATTATAACTGATACCACAGAAATACAAAGGATCTTTAGAGACTACTATGAACAGTTATATACCAACAAATTGGACAACCTAGAAGAATTGGATAAATTCCTAGAAACATAGCCTTCCAAGACTGAATCAGGAAGAAATAGAAAATCTGAACAGACCAATTAGTAGTAAAGCAGATTGAATCAGTAATCAAAAAACGCCGTACAAGTAAAAGTCCAGGACCAGATGGCTTCACTAATGAATTCTACCAAACATTCAAAGAATTAATACCAATCCTTCTCAAACTCTTCCAAAAAATAGAACAGGGGAGAACATTTCCAAACTTATTTTATAAGGCCAGCATTACCCTGATACCAAAACCAGACAAGGATACCATAAGAAAAGCAAAGTACAGACCAGTATCCCTGGTGAAGCTGATGGTTCACCAGGGATAGATGCAAAAATTCTCAGCAAATTATTAGCAAACCAAATTCAGCAATACATTAAAAGGATTATACACCATGATCAAATGGGATTTATAACAGGGATGGTTTAACATTTACAGATCAATCAGTGTGACACACCACATTAACAGAATGAAGGATAAAAATCATATGATCATCTTAATAGATGCAGAAAAAGCATTTGGTAAATTCAGCATCCATTTGTAATAAAAACTAGTTGGTATAGAAGGAACATACCTCAGTAATAAAGGCCATATATGACAAGCCCATAGCTAACATGCTCAATGGTGAAAAGCTTTCAGCTTTTCCTCTAAGATCAGGAAGAAGGCAAGGAAGGGTTCCCACTGTCACCATTTCTGTTGCATTCCTATACACTAATAATGAATTATCAGAAAGAGGAATTAAGAAAACAATCCCAGGGACACCTGGGTGGCTCAGTCAGTTAAGCATCTGCCTTCAGCTCAGGCCATGGTCCCAGGGTCCTGGGATCGAGTCCTACATCGGGCTCCTTGCTTAGCGGGGAGCCTGCTTCTCCCTCTGCCTGCCACTCCCCCTACTTGTGCACTTAATTCGCTCTCACAAATAAATAAATAAAATCTTTAAAAGGAAAACAATCCCATTTTCAGTTGCATCAAAAAGAATAAAAGTACTTAGGAATAAATTTAACCAAGGAGGTCAAAGACCTGTATCTTGAAAACTATGACATTGATCAAATAAAGACACAAAGAAATGGAAAGATACCCATGCTTGTGATTTGGAAGAATTAACGTTGTTAAAATGTCCTTACTACCTAAAACAGTCTACAGATTGACTGTAATTCCTGTCAAAATTCCAGTGGCATTTTTCACAGAGGTAGAACAAATAACTCTAAAATTTGTGTGGAACCACAAAAGACCTCCAGTAGCCAAAGTGATCTTGAGAAAGAACAAAACTGGAGACATCACATTCTCTGATTTCAAACTCAATTACAAAGCATAGTAAATTAAAACAGTATGGTATAGGCCTGAAAACAGACACATAGATCATTGGAATAGAATAGAGAGACCTGAAATAAACCCACATATGTGGTCAATTAATTTATGACAGAGGAACCAAGAATATACAGTTTTTTCAATAAATGGCATTGGGATGACTGGACAGCCACATGCAAAAGAATTAAGCCGGACCACTATCTAATTCCATGTACAAAAATTAACTCAAAATGGGTAAAGGCTTGGGGCATCTGAGTAGCTCAGTCATTAAGCGTCTGCCTTTGGCTCAGGTCATGATCCCAGGGTCCTGGGATCCAGCCCCGCATTGGACTCCCTGCTTTGCGGGAAGCCTGCTTCTCCCTCTCCCACTCCCCCTGCTTGTGTTCCCTCTCTCGCTGTATCTCTCTCTTGTCAAATAAATAAAATCTTAAAAAAAAATGGGTAAAGGCTTAAACTCCAGGGCACCTGGGTGGCTCAGTCGGTTAAGCGTCTGCCTTTGGCTTAGGTCATGATCCCAGGGTCCTGAGATCAAGCCCTGCATCGGGCACCCTGCTCAGTGGGGAGCCTGCTTCTCCCTCTCCCTGCCGCTCCCCTTGCTTGTGCTCTTTCTGTCAAATAAATAAATAAAATCTAAAAAAAAGACTTAAACTGTAAGACCTGAAAGCATAAAACTAGAAGAAAACATAGGCATAGGCAGTAAGCTCCTTGACACCCATCTTGGTGATTTTTTTTTTTTTTTTGGATGGGACACCAAAATCCAAGGCAACAAAAGGAGAGAAAAATGGGACTACATCAAACTAAAAGAAGTTTCTGCATAGCTCCAAAGGAAACCATCAAAATGAAAAGGCAACCTAGGAATGGGAGAAAGTGTAAATCATTTATCTGATAAAGGGTTAACCTCCAAAATATTTAAAGAACTCATAAAAATAACAAAAAAAATCTTTAAAAAATCAGGCAGAGGGGGCGCCTGGGTGGCTCAGTCGTTAAGCATCTGCCTTCGGCTCAGGTCATGATCCCAGGGTCCTGGGATCGAGCCCCGGATCGGGCTGCCTGCTCTGCGGGAAGCCTGCTTCTCCCTCTCCCCCTCCCCCTGCTTGTGTTCCCTCTCTCGCTGTGTCTCTCTGTCAAATAAATAAAATCTTTAAAAAAATAAAAAAATTAGGCAGAGGATCTGAGTGGACATTTTTCTCAAGAAAACATACACAGATGGCCAGCACTTACAATGAAATGATGCTCTACATCACTAATCAGAAATTCAAATCAAAGCCATAATGAGATACCACCTCATCCCTGTTAGAATTGGCTATTGTCATAAAGATCAGAAATAACAAGTTTGGTGAGGATGTGGAGAAAAGGGAACCCTTGTGCACTGTTGGTGGGCATATAAATTGGTGTGGCCACTTTGGAAAACAATATGGAGGTTCCTCAAAAAATTAAAAGTAGATTTACCATATGATGTACCCATTCCATAATTATCCAAATTATTCCATAATTATCCAAAGAAAACAAAAACACAACTCGAAAAGAAATATGCAGCCCCATGTTCATTGCAACATTATTTCAATAGCCAATATAGGGAAATGAAATCAGTGGATGAATGGATAAGGGAAATGTGTGTGTGTGTGTGCGTGTATATATGCATTGTGTACATATACAATGGAATATTACTCAGCCATAAAAGAATGAAATCTTACCATTTGCAACAATATGGATGGACCTCAAGGCATTACGCTAAGTGAAATAAGTCAGAGAAAGACAAATACTGTATGATCTCACTTGTATGTGGAATCTTTAAAAAAAATGGCTTATAGATAAGGGAACAGATTGGTGGTTGGCAAAATGAAGGGAGTCAAAAGGTACAAGCTTCCAGTTATGAAATATTTAAATAAGTCATGAAGATGAAATATACACTACACATATCTACATGTGTACGTGTGTGTGTGTACAAATATACATTAACCATACTAAAGCATGCAACTCTTGTTCTCAGGTGGTGAGTTCAAGCCCCACGTTGGATGTAGAGATTGCTTAAAAATAAAATCTTTAAAAAAACAAAGTTGCTAATAGAGTAAATCTTAAAAGTTCTCATCACAAGAAAAAGAATTCTGTAACTCTGTATGGTAACAGATACTAACTAGACATTGTGGTGATCATTTTGCAATATAAACAAGTATTGAATCATTTTGTGTACCTGAAACTAACATAATATTATAGGTCAATTATGTCTCAAATTTTTAAAAAAGAAAACAAAAAAACACTACCAGAAATCTCTGGGGAACTGAAGCAAGACATTTTTCACATTTTCTTTGAAGAATTTCAAGATACCTACTTGTAATTCTCTAGTCTGACCCAACATTATTTCCCCTTCCTTCCTGTTTTAGATTTCTGCCATGTTATCTCTGTACTTTTGAGAACCATATAGTTGTGTAGACAGAGTGTTTAATATTTTGTTTCTTCAGATGCCATCATTAATGAGAACTATGACTACCTGAAGGGGTTCTTGGAAGACCTGGCACCTCCAGAGCGCAGCAGCCTAATCCAGGACTGGGAAACATCTGGGCTTGTTTACTTGGACTATATTCGGATCATTGAGATGCTTCACCAGATACAGCAGGTACCTGAATTCCTTAAACTACCACTTGGTTTTCCTTTTCCCTGGCCCTTAAAGCCACAGAGACCTCAAAAGGTCTGAGCAACCACTTGAAAAACTCATTGGCAGAGAACTGTCAGTGCAGGAGGGACATTTTGATGAGGCTAATTTGCTGTAGTCACTATGACAGCTATATCAAAACTTAAAAAATCTTCTGTTTTGTGCTTATTACCAAGTAGTATGTACAGTAGACATTCCTGAGGTTTGTCCACTTATAGTCTCCTCCCCTTGTCCAGCCCTCCTTTGAGTGAAAGGCTCAGGGATGAGAGAGATAGTAAGGTCAGAGATTTGGTGAAGGTCATAATTGTTTCACACATCATTTGGCACGTTTTAACATTACAAGTATTACAGTTTTTTTTTAATCTTCATCAAAATGTATTGGGGTCAGTCTCAGTAGTCATAAGATAGGCCTCAATTGCTTATAGCACAAAGACCAGACTCTCAAACATAGAATTCAAGCCCACATAGAGGTTTTACCTGTCACTCCTGCCTTCTAACAGTGTTACCCCATCTTCCAGTTGCCAACCTGCTCTGCTCTCATCACACTAAATTACTCAGTGGTGTTTCCAGCAAAGCTTGTTTTATTTCACTCTTTAGCACACGGACTCATCCTTTAAGATCTACATTGCTGTAAACTCTACTTTGTTCTCCTTTTCCCCTAAGAAATGTTAATCGCACTTTCTTTTTTACTGTCAAAGCACTTGGTACATTTGTTTACTGACTTTATTATATTACTTATCCACCTGTCTTTAGGTTATCATCAGCTCCTTTTGGGGAGATCTTCTTTAAAATTAAAGGCAATAGAGTATAGAGGGTAAGAATCAAGTTCTGTAGCCAAACGGTTAGGTTCAATTCATGGTTCCCTCCCTCACTAGCTATGTGACCTTAAGCAAATAAATTAGCCTCTCTTTGTCTCCTCTGAAAAGTGGGGGGGGGGTGGGGGGAGGTGGAGCACAGATTATCGTAGATATCTGACAGTTGTCATAACGATTAAAATATACTTAAAAGTGTTTTAGCAGACTATATATATTAAGTACTTAGTAATTATTATCTGTTATCCTTATCAAAATCCCTCCTCACACAGTGCCTGGCATATAATATGCATAATTTATTATTTGTTACACTTTTAGGATAAATTAATATTATTTGCTACACTTTTAAAAATTAAGAGCATCACCTCTATTATCACTGAAGAAAACTCTTTTCTAGTTGAACATTAATACATTTTACAACCTAGTTTTTGAGAATTTACTATGTCCCAAGCACTGGTGGATTTGGGTGATATAAAGGTAAGCAGTAGTATATGTTTTGCCCTTACCAAAGTAATAATTTTGGTGAGGAAGATATATATATGGGTAAGCCAGCAGTTATTATAGAATGTTAAGCGTAGGGATTAAGCAAAGAGTGTTTTGTAGCAGCACATAAACGGAGTACCTAACCCAGTCTGAGGGAGTCAGTAAGACTTTCTAGAAGTGGCACCTAAGCTCCTAAGGATGAAAAAGGAGGTAGGTGGGACAGAACGCTTCAACAGAGGGAATAGCATGAGTGAAAGTCTAGAGATTAGAGCGATCATAGTGCTTCCAGGGGACTTGGTTTTTGTTTTTGTAAGATATTCAGTCATTCATTTTGTCTGTTCATTTATTTATTTATTTATTTAAAGCGTGAATGAGTGGGGGAGGTGCAGAGGGAGAGAGAATCTCCAGCAGCGTCCATGCTGACATGGGGCTCAGTCCCCAAACCCTGAGATCATGACCTAAACCGAAATCAGGAGTCAGCCACTCAGCCGACTAAACCACCCAGGCAACTCTCCAGGGAACTTTTAATAAGGTGGTTTGGAGTGGAAAGGGGAGCGCGTAGGTGTAGTAAAGCCACAGAGTCTCTCACCTGGACTGCTATAGGAGACACCATGCAGCAACCAGGGTTATTTTTCTAATGCATAAGACATACCATCTCACTCTCGTCTAAAACCTTCCAGTGGATTCTCATTTCACTTAGAATAAAGTGCTCCTTAGCAAGTCTTACAAAGCTCTGCATCAGTAATTCTTACCTTTTTTTGCTATGGACCTCCGTAACAGTCTGGTGAAGCTCATGGATGGCTGTCTAATGTGTTTTAATGCATAAAATTTAAATTCATGGGATTACAAAGGGAACCATGTTGTTAAAATAGTTATCAAAATATTAAGAACTTAAGGTAATTAAGTGGTTTATTTAACATCTTAAATTTAACAAGCCTTGCAGTGGATCTCCTAACTACTCTAATTTTGAGGTACTATATTTAAAAATCACTGACAACTGTAATGTAATATGAAAATAGCCGTGATGTCTGTTGATGACAAAGTCTCAGTTATTGCTTGACATCTACATTAATAATTAAACGATAATGTTTAGTAAAAAGTTAGTAAAAATAAATGCTATTTTTCTCAGTCCAAGGTCACAGACTCTGAATACTGAGGACCTCCAGTTGCGATCCTCTAGTGTATAAAACTTCTCCAGTTTTATCTTCTTCTCTCCTCTTTAAACTCTGCATTTTACCCACCTAAATTTCTTTGCATTTGCATCTTGTAGTTTTAGCTGTTCTCTTTGCCTAGAAAGCTTGACCCTCTCCTTGTTGTTCAGGTCTCCGCGAAGATATGACCTTCCCTCAGGGAAACCTTTTCTGATCTCCCAATCTGAAGTACCATCCAGTTTTTCTGCCATATCACCCTGCTTGAATGATCTGCATAGCTTGTGATTCTTCAAGGTTTATCTCTGATAGTTTCTTTATTTTTTATGTTCTTTATTTTTTATGAGTTTCTTGAGAGCAAAGACCTCATCGTATTTACCACCTTTAAAAGTCCAGTTAAAGACTTGATTCTTGTGGATAAAAGAATACTTGCAGAGGCTGGGGCGCCTTGGTGGCTCAGTCAGTTAAGCATCTGCCTTTGGCTCAGGTCATGATCAGGCTCCCTGCTCAGTGGGGAGCCTGCTTCTCCCTCTCCTGCTTCCCCTGCTTGTGCACCCCCCGCCAGCTTTCAAATAAATAAATAACTAAATCTTTAAGGAAAAAAATACTTGCAGAGGCATTAAATGGTAGATTCTGCAAAGCCCCCCAAAAGTCGATTCAATGAGAGAGATGCTTCGTGGAAGGGTTGGGTAAGCATTTAGAGGAGGAGGAGATGATAGGACACTTAGCAAGTAGGGTGGTTTAATGTAAGAGTTTGGGAGGGGGGCCAACCAAGAGTCATATGTGAGACAAACCGGAATAAGATGCTGCTGAAAATATTCAGAATGTAAGTAAAGAATGAAAATACAGGGTTCCTGGCTGACTCAGAAGAGCATGTGACTCTTGATCCTTGGGGTTGTGAGTTCAAGCCTCATGGTGGGGGTAGAGATTACTTAAAAAAAATAGACTTAAAAAAAAAATACAGACTTTTTAGAAACATCACTCTGGCGACCATATGGTAGGGAAAAGAATGTAATGGGGATGACACTGAAGATAGTGGTCAAGCTCTTAAGATATTTCAAGTAAGAAGTAATGGTATCCCGAGCCTAGGGCACTGACCCTGGAAAGGGGAATGAAAGATTGAAATAGTAGGCTAATGATTTAGGAATCATCAGCATATTGATCATAATTGGAGTCATAGGTGGGGCACCTGAGTGGCTCAGTAGGTTAAGCATCCGACTCTTGGTTTCAGCTCAGGTTGTGATCTCGGGGTCATGGGATCAAGCCTCGAGTTGGGTTCCACACTCAGCACGGAGTCTACTTGGGGTTCTCTGCCTTTCCCTCTTCCTTTCCCTCTCTCTGGTTGCACATGCGCTCGCTCTCTTTCTCTCTCTCTCAAATAAATTGATTTAAAATAATACTAAAAATTGGAGCCATAGGAGTGGATAGCAACACATAGGAGAGGACGTACAGTGAGAATAGGGCCCTGCAAGTATTTTAGAAAGGGTTGTGAATTTGAAGTTAGGATACCTAAATTAAATGCTAGTTTGGGCTCCACTTCTTACTTACTCTCTATTCTTAAGTCCTACAATCTCTCTAAGCCCAGAGTTATCTAGATTTTTGGTGCCATGTTAAAGCTTGCTAGTTACATGTTTCATTAATGCTGATCTGAAAGCTTGCCCAGTTCAAGGCTACTTGTATACTGTGTTACTTCCCTCTTGTGGATTACTGCTGAGGTTGTGTTTTGTCCTCAGTGATTAGGCTGGATAGTGGTGACATGACACTGCCGGCCAGCCTCCTGGGTTTTTTCCTGTTGTTTCAGAGTTTTGCATAGTCATTCTGTGGATAGAATTGGGGTGATGGGAGCTCTTCTTGACCTAATTGGTTTCTCTGCTCCTTTGTAGGTGGATTGCTCAGTTTATGAGCTGGAGCAATTACACACCAAAGTGATCTCACTGTGCAGCCGCATACAGCAGATGCAGTGTTACAATGCCAAGGATCTCCTGGCCCAGTCAGGTAAGCCTCCAGCCTCTCCCTGCTTCCTGCCTGCTTGCTTCCTGTCTTTATGATTATTATACCTCTGCCCCGATGCCCACCCTTACCACCCCTCATCCTTGATGCCCACTTCATTTTTTTCTCTCCAGACATGGCCAAACGTGCAGCCAACCTGCTGCGGGTGGTATGGAGCCTTCAGCGTGCCCCTGAAACAACCTCCGACTCAACACCAGACCTTCAGCGAGTCCCTTTGGGCCTCTTGGCTCCCCACGTTGGCCAGCTCCCCATGCCTGAGGACTATGCCTTGGAGGAACTGCGCGGCCTCACACAGTCCTACCTGCGAGAATTGACTGTTGGGAGTCAGTGAAGCCCAGATTCTTCCCACCACACTCACATGCTCATTCACACTCACCACACAGAGATCCCCTGCATTGAGTTGGTTGGCACTGTTTGCCATTCTCTTGGTTGGCTCTGGAACCCATCTTCGTTTCCTGCTGCCCCAAGCAGCATCCTCCATTTGTTCAGGGCTTTTCTTAATACTGAACAAAGTATAAGGGCTTTAGAACCCAAAAAAGGAGCCAAGTCTCTTTTTTACCATCTTTAAGACCATTCTTCCCCCCACCCCCTTTCTAAAAAATGGTCAATAAAATACCTTTCGCAGAATTACCCCCAGAGAACCAGGGAATCCTTTCCCCCGCCTCGGGTGTTCTGAATCTTGTGACCCTCTGTGCCGACCTGCTACCCTACTCCTACCTCAGCCCTTTTATACTAGGACAAATGTGTTGATCAAGAACTGTCCTTCCTTAACAGATAAACTCTCCACAGAAGGAAGGAGAGTTTGTCTCTTAAGTAGGTTGATGAGTTAACACTGTTGTAGAGTCAAAAGAGGGTTGGACTGAGTTAGGAAGCAGAACATAGTCATTTCTGACTTATATAGGGTAGAAGGGAGTGCCTGCCATGGAGGGATGAATCTTCAAGGCTTGTTTGTTCCTGCCTTGAATGTTCCATGAACATCAAACCTTTCCTACTATGTGCAGGAACTCTTGGTCACAGACTTCATGTCCCTGGGAAGCTCCAGAATTCAGTTTGGTCCCTGGTTTTCAGTCATCTTGCCAGGCTTCCTGTCTGGATTTGCGTGAAGAGTTTGGATAAAATGTGGCAGGTTAGGTAGCCCTCCCTGTCCTTCCTATTCTAGCCCAAAGCATTTCCCACCCATTGTCTCCAGTCCCAGAACATAGAACCATTACTGAGGCAGGCAAGGAGCTGGGCTTTACGGGCAGGAGGAGGGCCTTGGCTACACTGCTCTCAGCTGTGGGGAGTCCCAGGTAAAGGCCTGCGACAGCTGGTATTAGGGCTGTCATGGATAACATGGCCACCTCTGGGTCTTTATGCATGAAGATTATGTAAAGGTTTTTATTAAAAAGTATATATATATATAAATAAATGATCTAGATTATTTTCCTCTTTTTCTGAAGCTACTTTCTTAAAAAAATAAATAAAATGTTTATAGCATTCCTGCTCTTGGCTTTCCCTTTGTGTTTTTTGAGCCTTCTTACTCCAAGGATCTTTACAGTGGCCTCAGTTGATTTGCAGTCTAAAGGGAGATGGGTCATGGGTTAAAGAAAACAGTCAAAGGCTAAATTTATTAGGGAAAATTTAGGGTGAGGGGGTTGAGATTATTAATTAATCCTAACTACATATATATATATATATATACATATATATATATTAAGATTTTATCCATTTATTTGAGAGAGTGAGAGAGCTCAAGGAGGGGGAAGGGGGAGCAGCAGAGGGAGAGGGAGAAGTAGACTCCTCGCTAAGCAGGGAGCCCGATGCAGGGCTTGATCCCAGGTCCCTGGGATCATGACTTGAGCCGAAGGCAAACACTTAACCATTTGAGCCACCCAGGTGCCCCTGACTGCTTATATTTATATAAATACATTTATAAGCATATATTTATGTATTTGGCTTCCCGGTGGGGGATAAGGGAAGAGTCTTATTGCCCTTAGGAATATACTTAGGATTCAAAGCCTGGCTTTTCTATTCTGGGGGTTTTGTTTGTTTTTAAATCTTGGGTCACACTTCACTCTTAATTTCATTTCCCATTGTGTAAAGGGGATGATGATCTTGAATGTTGCTGCTAAACGCAGCTGTTTTCCAGAGGGAATGAATAAGTCTGATGTGTACTATTTGGATTTTTTTTTTTCCTGTTAAACTGAAGGTGTGAGCAAATTCCAGTTAGGATTACGCCAAAGACACTGGGACATGAGGAGTTTGGAGATAAAGCAGAGTGGATCTGGGGCTTCCCTTTAATTTAGACCCCCAAGGACAAGGGTAACTCCTGGGAATCTCCCTCCATTACTGACTGTGTGAACCTGAGTCACAGAGCATTGCTGGGCTTCTGGCAAAGAAGTCCTGTTGTGGTTTCCTTGTGAGAGGTGTCTTGTGAAAAGAGAGTGTGCTATAGAAATGGTTAGCCTTTAGAAGTGTTAAGAATTGTGAATATGGGCAGTATTTACTCTTACAACTAGTATTTCATACATATATATATATGGCTCTAAGTCAAATGTTTATCATAGCAGCTGTGTTACATCAGAGAAGTTACAGTTCAAAGTTAATGATAAAGATGACAAAGAAGCTTTTCTATATTTCAAAATTCCATTGAAATAAAAATTTGGGGCACCTGGGTAGCTCAGTCAGTTAAGCGACTGCCTTCGGCTCAGGTCATGATCCCAGGGTCCTGGGATTGAGCCCCGCGTGGGGCTCTCTGCTCAGTGGGGAGCCCGCTTCTCCCTCTCCCACTCCCCCTGTTTGTGTTCCCTCTCTCGCTGTCTCTGTCAAATAAATAAAATCTTTAAAAAAATAGTATTTCTCTAAAAAATAAAAATTAAGTTTCTAAAAAATCTAAAAACAGGAATCCATTTTCTCAAAACTCAACAGACTTGTAGAATCATACAACATCCAAAATAAGTGTATTTCCTTGGCAGAGTGCTGGAATAATGCCAAAATCAAAGTCAGGAAAATTTTGGAGATTAAACGTTGGATTAGCCCAGCCAAGGCCTGCAGAGTAGCTGTGCTTTTCAGATGTTTTACTCTTTGACTCAGTTGCTACTTTGTATTAACAGAAAATTACTCTAGATTTTTTGTTCCGTTTTTAAAGAATCGGCTCTTCGTCTTACCCAATTTTACCAGAGTTCTGTATTGTAATGTATTGATTTCTGCTTCAAACATTCATTTCTTATGTTTTCCTAAGGGCTTTTTTTAACCTTTTACTGTAGGGATTTTCACCTATGCAAAAGTAAAATGGTATAATGAATTCACATTGAACATTTGCGACAATCCTCCAATATTACTTCATCTTTACCTCCACTGTTATTCTACCCACCCCACAATGGTATTTCTAAGGCAGATCATTTCATCAATACCTAAGCATTTCTAACAGGTGATTTTTTTCTTTTTTTTTTTTTTAGAGAAGGCATGTGTGAATGGGGGGAGGGGCAGAAGGAGAGGGAGAATCTTAAGCAGGCTCTACACCCAGGGCAGAGCCTGATGTGGGGCTCAATCTGATGACCCTGAGATCATGACCTGAGCTGAAATCAAGAGTTAGAGACTTAACTGACTGAGCCACCCAGTTACCCCACTAACAGGTAAATGTTTTTAAACACAATCACAGCACCCTTGTCCTACCAACAAAATTAACAGTAATTCCTAGATAGCAACTAATGCCCTCTGCATTTCCAAATTTCCCCAGTTGTCTCAAACTAAATTTTTATGGTTGAATTGTTTTGAGATTTATTTATTTTTGAGAGAGAGAGAACCTGCATGAGCATGGTGTGGAAGGGCAGAGGGAGAGAGAATCTCCAGCAGACTCCCTCCTGAGTGCAGCCCAATGCCGGGCTCGAACCAACAACCCTGAGATCATGACCTGAGCTGAAATAAGAGTCAGACACAATCAACTGAGCCACCCAGGCACCCCATGGTTGAAATGTTTGAATTAGGATCTCAACAGGGTCCACACTTTGCATTTGATTTTTAAGTCTCAAGTATCTTAATCTATTACCAATGTTCTTCCCGCCCCCCCCCCCGCCGCCTTTTTTTTAATGCCCTTTGTTAAAGTAACTGGGTCATTTGTCCTTAGGAATCGAGAACCAGGACCTTCTAGGTTTGGCTGGTTGTGCCTCTACTTCCTATATACTGCTCCTTCCTATATACTCTCCTTTACTTCCTATATACTGCTGGTTAGATCTAGAGGCTTGATTAGATTCAGTTTACTTCTCCCAGCTCCCACCCTTCTCCCCAGTGTTTTATCACTTCAGAAGACTCATGTTTGGTTGTCCCACTTTCAGTGATGTTAAGATTATTGATTTAGGTGTTGTCAGTCTTATTCACCCTTTATATAACTTCCCATCAACCTCCCACCTAATGATAATCAGGGCTAAGAGTCATTATTTCATTATTATTTATTATTTATTTTTTCCATTATTTATTTATTTCATTTATTCATTATTTATTATTTCATTTTTGTATATCCCTTGTATATCATTACTGTATATCCCTTGTCTTTTTATATGTGTTGATTCATTATTTCAAAATAGAGACTTAAATCATATAGTTATTGTGCAGTTAATTTTTTTTTACTTTGTGTTCCCACCCCCACCACCCCCACTGCTTCTTAAAAGTTACCCACAAATTTTTGGATTTTTTTTTTCAATATAACATTTTCACCCCAAAATACAGTAAATATAAGAAATATTTTAGCATTTTTTTTTCAGGTAAACAATTTACACATCAGTCTCTAGTCAGAGACTATACTACGGAAATGAGACAGGGAAACTGAAGGGACCCCAGGAGAGAAAAAGCTGGGTTTTTTTCATTTGCTACTTTTCTGGCTTCTATTCTTGCTGGACCTGCACCCCCAACGCACTTTACACATGCCTCGTAACGCAAATAGCCTATATCCTCCTTGTAAGGGACAGAGAGTTAATGATTCTCTAGAATAAATAACATCTAAGGAAGGACCAGGTGAGAATGGCCAGAGGAAGCTATCATGTGCATTCCACACCACGGGAGCCAGACATCTCAACACCAAGACCCCCTGGCTCCAAGCAATAACACCTGGGCCCTCGTCTTTGTTCTAACCAGTTCCTGAATGCCTGAGAGGACACGTACACTAGACCACCATCCCCA